CTGGTGTTTCTTCAATGTTCCGTTTTACCTGTACTTTTGTGCCCTTTTAAAGGTTTAGGTGGATCACCTGGAAGCAGCCATTTCTGGTAAAATCATCATGGGCAGTTAATCGAAATCGAGCTTGCTGCACTTGTTGGTAGAAAATGTTAAAATATGTTAAAGGATGTTTGTGAATATTTTTCGTGATTCGAACTGCGTCCACGGTAGCTTGATGGGGAAGGTTGTTCCGTTCAAATTAATCTCTCGAGCTAGTGGCTGCGATTTTTTTTCGGAGGAGGTACAGGGTTTTGGAGTTTTTGTGAGGAGGTCATCACTTTTTCAGCCGGTTCTCGGGCTGCCCAGAGTTGTAACAGGTGGCAAGTGCGTTAGTTGTTCACATCCTCCACCAACGGGAGCACAGGACGCTATCGCGCGAACCTGCCCGTGAACAATTTCCCAACTCATCTCTGATTTGGCAGAGATGAGTTGGTTACCATCACAAGTACGTGTGCCACCAACGGCTATTGGTAGATGGGACCGCCATCACGAGTGCGCGAGCCCCTATCAGGAAATCGTTTCGCCGCCCTTAGGGCAAAATACGGTGAAAGTTAACGTACGAAACCAGAGGGCAGCACAGGCTGCGATCGCGCGACCCTACTCATGAGCAATCTCTCAATTCGTCTCTGGTATACCTTATTTTACGTTACTTGAATTCACTTGATTAACAGACTAGTTCACATTATTACTTAAAGACAAATGCATTTCATTGGATATTACATTAAAAATATTTTCATTACTTTCTTTTTCTTTTTTTTTTTTTTCATTAAAACTACACTTTCTTACAAGGGATGTTTTAAAAGACGTTTCTTATCAATACAAGTAACGTATATATACATATATTTAATAATTAAATGCAATTAATGTACATACACATGTTACGAGTAGTGTACACAATGTCCGATTTATCACAGTACCCATAACACGTACATGTTCATCTGAATTAATCGTTTCAGTCTTGTGACAAGTGTAGTACTGTCTGGTGTACTAATTCGTCCGTTTTTACTGATTTGCGGAACGGAAAAAAACGCATCACTATACCTGAAACCAAATGTTCAAAGACACTTGATTTTTGTGTACTGTCATTGAAAAAAAAATAGTATCATGTACAGGAGAACGCCTCATCTCAAATTCTCAATTAAATTGTGTAGTTCATGAATAAACATCATTTAGTTAAACTTGTCCTATCATATAGAATTAACAGTTTGAACGCTCGTTTTCCAGTTCTCGAACTCTTTGTTCGAGTTCTTTGATACGCCGACTTCTGGAACGACATAACTCTCTCATCAAGCTTTTTTCCTTCATTAATCGTTCTATCTTGATATGCTCCTATGAAAGAAACAATTTGAATTAATCGATGAGATACTTCGTTCAATGGAACAAAAATGTAATTGATGATGAAACTAAATCAAAATAAATCATTATTACATCATACTTACTTCAATTATTCCACTACTTGTACCACTGAGAAAGATCTTGCAATCTGACAAGCATTGAGTAGATTGGTCCCTTTTATTCATTTTCTTTTCTTTGCATACCTTGCATTCTCTTGTGGTAATGTCAAACAGAGCATGTTGTAACCTCTTCACGTCCTTTTTCAATTCAATATTCTGCAAAAACAAACAAATCGTCCGTTCGAAAAAATATCGCAAAGAATTAACCCTCATCAGTTGTATGTCACCTTTGATGTGACATTGTACAATACATACAAAACGTTAGAGTTTGATAAAAGTTTGATAAAACGATAGAGTTTGATAAAACGATAGAGTTTGATAAAAAAAAGATATCTCTCTCAGTTATCCTTACCTTACTCCGGAAAAGTAAAAGGTCGTCCTCCATTTCTTTACACTTCTTCTGATAAGGAAAGTTCTCGCTCTGGAATCGAATTTCAAGGGTAGCAATTTGTCCATTCTTCGATACTATTTCCAATTCCAATTGACGAATTTTCTCCATGAGAATAGAACACTGCTGACATGGTCTTTGTTCGAAGACTTCATCATCGCTACCTAGATTTTCAATTTGTCTCATCCTATTGAATAAATCACTCCTCCGTTGTTTCCTCCTGTTGTTTTCGTACGCAGGACTGATACTTCTTGAGCCAGAAGAATTTTTCGCTTCTAACTTTCTTTCCAACTCCACGATTTTACTCTGTAGCTCCTGAGCCTCCATTATGGCCTTCTTTTCAATGGTCTCGATTCTAACAAAAAGATCATTATTCTGCTTTTTATAACGTTCTATCTTTTTCTCATAAGAATTTGGACTGAGCGCATTAGGAGGAAGTCTGGCTTTGAGTTTTTTATTTTCAATCTTCAAGGCGGAAATTGTACCCTCCAGCTTTAACATGGGACCGTATCCAGATTCGGGAGCTATCAACTTATCGTTTAATTCAAGATTCTCACGTTCCAAACTATTAATATGTTTTACCATTTCGTCCATTTCTTCGTCTAACTCCTTATTCTTTGTCCGAAGCTCCTCCATTTCAACCTCATATTTTCGCATCTCTTCTTCTTTTAACTGCAGAGCCTGTTTAATCTTCTCGAGTTCGACTACCGTACTCTGCTGTTCCTGAAGAAGATTGACGCGAAGTTTTATTAGATCTGAAGCATGATTTGTCTTGTAAGTATTCATCTCCTCTGCCAGCTGAATTTTCTCCTGATTCAAGATCTCGTACTTTCCTCGTAACTCATGTTTATCCGAGATCAATTGATTTTTCGATTCCTGAAGCTCTTTGATCAAACTACTAGCTCTTTCCAGTTCCCTGTGAAGACTCGCCACCTCGTCCTGCAGACCTTTCACGACGTCCTGCGATATATTATTCTCGTTGCGAACCTTCTTTGTCAATTTTTCATTCTCCTTTTCCAATTCCTCGCAAGTACCTTTAAGTAATTTTAACTCTGAATCAAGAGCTGTGTTCTTCTCACGCAGATCATGCACATGTTGTTCAAGATCTACGACTTGCAGCTCTTTCAGCAATTTCAGCTCTAAATTAAGAGCTGTGTTCTTCTCGCTCAGGTCAAGCACCTGTTGCTCAAGATCTACGACTTTCAGCTCTTTCAGCAATTCCACCTCTGAATTAAGAACTGCGTTCTTCTCGTTCAGGTTAAGCACCTGTTGCTTAAGACCGACGACCTTCAGCTCTTCAGCTTCGAGGCGTTCCGTGATACTTTCGATTCGTTTAGAATCGTCTTCCTTTCGCTTCTCCATTTCAACCTTTAACTGGTCGACAACCTGCTTTCTATCGAGTAATTGTTGCTTCAAAATCTCGTTCTCCGGAATGATCACCTCCAGCTTGGTAGTTAATTCGCAGAGCGTATCGCGATTCTGTTTAAGCAGATCGGTCATTTCTTCGATGCGCCTATCCTTCTCCTGAATCTCATTAAGTAGCTGGTCGTACGCACTTTTCAACTGCTCTAGTTCCGCCTCCAAGTTCTGAATTTTCTGGGTACTGCACGTTAATTCATTTACATTTCGGCTAATGGTGTTCTTCAAATGTTCCTCCAGAGCTTCGAGAGCTTCCACGTTATTCCTCAACTCCATGTTCTTCGATTTGTAGGCTTCAAGCGAGTTAGTCAGTTCTGCCAATTTGGTGTTGTACTCATCCTTATCGAGTTTCATTTGTGTCTCCAATTCCTTTTCTCGATTCTTAATGCACTCCAAAGCGAAGTGTTGCTTTTTCCTGTCCTCTTGGGCGGTTTCATCGTCCTGAGATTCTTTTTTCGACTGCTTCTCAACTACGCTCTGTAAAGTACCAAAGTCCGACTCCAAGACTTCGATCTTCTCCTTCAAACTTTGACTCTCGTACTGATTTTCTTTCAGGACGTGTTTTAATCCTTCCATCTCCGTGCAAAGCTCACTATTTATACTTTCCTGCCGGAGAAGATCGTTCTGCAACCTCTCGACGTCGGCCTCGAGCTCTTTAGCCCAAGCTGCGACCCTCTTTTCCGAGTCCTCACTCTGGCGGGTTTGGTCCTCTAACTTTCTTCTGTCCTTCTCGAAACGCTCTTGGATCATTCTGATGACTTCATGCTCTTTTAACATTATTGCCTGCAGGAAAATCCGGAACAACTCCTGAATGGAGACGCTTGATAGACTCTGTTCATTAAAATCGGATTTAAAAGATCGAAGCTCTTTTACAATGAATTCTTTCGCGTCGACCAACTCACTGCTAAGACTTTGATATTTGGATCTGAGCTCTGTGTGCTCCTGAGTTGAGTTTTCTTCCTCAAGTTTTCCTAAATCAGCAGCCACTTCTTCGGCAGTCCCATTTACCGACACTAATTGCTCATTCGCCGCTTTTTCATCCTGCTTAATTTCATTTGCTTCTTTCAGCAAGGCGCAATTCTTCTCTTGTAATTCCGAGATAGATTTTCGCAGATCATCGATGGTCTTCTCATTGCCCTCTTTCTCGGCTCTCAGCTTTTCGACCTCAACCTCCAAATTCACCTTTTGCTTTGTAGCTTCATTCTGTAGGATGTTTAGCCTTTCAATCTCGTTGTTCAAGTTGATCATTTCATCGTCGATCATTTTAACTTTCTCGTTGTCGAGCTGCTCCCTGTAGGTTTTCAGAGATTCTATCTCATTTAGCATGTTTGCCTTTTCTGTTAAAAGCTTCTGATATTCTTCCCCAGCAATCGCATTGACTTTCTTCAATTCTTGCAGCTCTTCCTCGAGCCTCTCTACAGTCTCTTGAATATTTTTAATTCCATCTTGTCGCTGACAAGGTCCTGTTCCTGAAATCAATGAAGACTTTTCATCACTTTGACGAGACTTTCCAAGCTCTTCACATTCTTCCTCGTACAATTCGGTTTGTGTTTCATTGTCCTCTTTGAGTGTCTGCAATTGACTCTTTAAAGTTTCCACCTGTTTCTCCACCAGAGAAACGTTCAATCCTTCTAAGTTGCTGGTATTCATCGCGGAGTCACTTATATCGAGATCCTCAGTAATCTTATTTTGCGATATGTTGGCGCAATCAAACTTTCGCTGTAAAATATTCAGCTTGTTGTACAGATTTCTGTTTTCAATTTTCAACATTCTACGACTTTGAACAATCTCTTTCAAGTGTTTGCATTGAGTGCAAGAACCGAGTTTCAGGGAGCTCAACTTTTCGTTCAACCGTGTTATATGATTGTTTTGATCTCGTAGCGTCTTAATCTCAGAGGTCAGTGATTCGATATTTCCCCCGGAAGCTTCTTTAGCACCAAAATCGGGAGGGGAACAATCGTCGAAGATCGAAAGGTGTAACGAATTATCCAATGAAACGTTCTGTCGTACAGTTTCAATGTCGTCAATAAAAAGGAGGGAATTGGACAGTTTTTCGTTTTCTTCAGAGAGCAACGTCACCTTTGTCTTCAATTCTGCAGTTTCAGTCTTCAAGTTCATATTTTCAGTAGTCAATTCTTTTAAAACTGGGTCTCCAGAATTTTCCGGCGTAGTCGGACGGGTTAAGACTTCTAATTTACTTTTCAGAAGGACGTTCATTTCCCTTAAATTGTCACACTCTTCATTTTTCTCGGTTAAATTGTTCAGCAGCTCATCGCTCTCATTCTTCATACAGGAAATCTTTTCAAGAAGTGATTCGACCTTCTCCTTGAAGGTACAGTCATGGTCATAGAGTAAAGCTTTGCTCTCCTTTATCTTGTCGAGTTCTTCGATTTTATCGATTAAATCGGAGGAGAGCTCGTTATTTTCTTCCGTTAATTGTTCTATCTTTTTCTCGTACCGTTCTAGCTTTCTTTCTATTTCCTCGTCGTTTATTGTTGAGGAGGAGACTTGGAATACTTCTAATTCACCCCGACAAATTATCAAATCATTTTCCAGGTCTGCTTTTTCTTCCGTGACTTTTGATAACCGAGAATTGAGTTCTTCGATCTGATTCTAAGAAAAATAATCATATTTATATGTAAGCATGTAATTAACATTTCCGTCTAATTCACTTTTCTAAAAAGTCTACGCAAAAGTTGGTAAAATACTTTAATATACTTGCAAGGTCAAAATGGTATAAAAACCCTTCAACCCTTTTACCTGAAGTTTCACTCCTTCCTCTTCAGAGTGATTTTTTTCAGCAGTTAAGTTGTCAAACAACTTCTTATTCTCCGAAGTCAACAAAAGGATAGTTTTTTCTAACTTCTCAATATCTTGTAATGACGACTCAAGCTCCTGTACGCGAGTCTTGTGTTTCGTTTTGAGAAAATCCATTTGGTATAAATAGTCCGAGTTTTTATTCATTAGGTCTTTCACGCGATCTGAAGCCTCATTCTGAAATTTAATGAAATCCTTCAATTAATTTGCAACTTTGATAGCCTCAATCAATTTTGAATTAATTTTTTAGTACCGCTGAAATCTCAAGTTTATTTTTCTCTGCCTTGATTACGTGATATTGCTCTTGAAAATCAGAAAGTGACCGAACTTCTTGTTTCAGTTTCTCGCATTCATTTAACGTTGTCTCATGTGCTTCTTTCAGTTTTGCATGCTCTGTCTAATGAATAAAAATTCAATCAAAATATGTTCATTGATTTCTGGTGTCATATTAACATTAATTTAAAAAAAAAACATTGTTCTAATAGTAATTAAACTTCTTTTCATACCTGAATTTCCGAGTACTTCTTGTTCAAATCGAGGTACACAGTTTCTGTATCAGAGAGGGACTGTTTTAAACCATCTATGTATTCTTTTTCCTCAGATGTCTGAAAGATTAAATTTAATGAATAATCGTACAAAGTAGCATATATATAATTGTATGCATCATTTTTTGAAAACTTGCCATATATACTTACATAGCCGGCAGTAAGCAACTGCTTTTCAAGTGTAGTAAATTCTTGCAGCGTGTAAAATTCTTCAGTTAGGTAGCGAATTCTATCCCGGAGGACATTCTTTGGCGTACTAGGTGATCCATTTTCACTACTAAACACAAATAAAGAAAAAAAAAATTAATTTACTTATATGAACAATACAAATAGTAAATACTTACATATTAGGTGAAGAAGATATTCTTTTCTCTGGTGTATAGTCATCCCAACAGTTTTCGTAACTCACTCTGCTAACTGACACCTTATCCATAAACTTCACACGTTGTTTTGAATTATGTTTTGGAACCTGTATTATAGGGGTTTCTTCAAAATCGACGCTATTACTTGAATACCGATTTTTCTCCCTTTCACTTTCAATCAGTTCTAACTCAAAGTCTGTAAAAGCAGTCTGGAAATCTGAAAATATAAATCTTTCATTAAATACTGTACTAAAGATAATTTATAATTACAATTTCATAGACAATCTACTGACTTTCTTTAATAAGATCCTTTCCTGAAGTTTGAATGATACTTTGACGCCTTTTAATTTGTTGCTTCTTTTCAAGTTTTTCTTGTGATTCATCACCAATACATTCTTTAATACTAGCTAGTAGTCGAGGTGGTCGTAATGAAACTATATTATCTGGACCACCCCAGGTACGACGTCGTTTCAATTCTGCTTTCAAATCTTCGTCATGTTGAAGATTATTTCCAGACACAATACGTGATTTTAATAACTCAAGGCGCTCTTCCAAAATTTGATTTACACGATCCTTTTCTTGAAGTCTGGTCTCCATTTGTTCAACCTCTGCTGATTTCTGCTTTGAGGCCTGTACAAAATATTCATAATACCAAATCAATATTAATTTTATATATACAATGACCAGACTATTTACAAAATATATTTCATCATATTTTATCATTATTTACACACACAATGACAAACATCAATAACCAAATAAAAGTTTCTAGGTGGAAAATTGTTACATTGTTGTTTCTGAAATGAAACAAAGAAAGGCCCTCCATTTACCTGCAGCTCTGCCATAAGCATTGACATTTGCTTCTTAATACGTTTCAAAAGAGCAGCATCTGACACTACTTCATTTAAATGTGGCTGATTCTTTATACTTTTAGCTCTTGAAGCAAACCTAAAAAAAAATAAAATAAAATAAAAATGTAACCCACCTTTGCAATTTGCAATACATAAAACTATGCATCAATACATACGCTAATGTACACTGCGTTTCATCAAAAGCCACTGGAGTTACAGCACATATTATTGAAGTCATTGCATTACCACCTAATGAATTCTGCAATATTCTCGTTAGTTTGCTGTCTCTAAAATTAATATATTTTGGGCCTTCTTGAGAATCACTCAATTGTTTAATGACCAAACCCAATGCAGAAAGTGACATATTTATATGTTTTCCTTCTTTAAATCGTTCACCTGTTGCTCCAGTTTGGCGGGCTCTTTCAGAGCCCGCAAGATCAACCAGATTTAACTGCGAGACCTTAACTGCACAATCTGAATCTGCATTGGCTTCTCGACTTTCAATTGTCTAAAATAATAAACAATTTATTTTCAATGTATTACAAATTAAGAAATATACAGAAAATAAATAAAAATGTTTAAATCCATACTTATACAATGTTTACTTCTTACAAGATTTTGACATTTTTCAACAGTTATATCCCTTTTATTTTAATATCTACTTACAATACGAAATATTGTGTGACTTCGACTACTCCTTTCATTCATATTTGTTACATCTATTCTTCGGTTTTTGTCTCCCCTTTTCATGTGTTTTAATACATCATCCTCGGTTTGTATAACTTCTTCTTTACAATGCATATATACTTGTCCATTTATATCTTCGTGCAATTTTAGGTCGATGCCATCCTTCTTTAAGAGATCATTTACTTTTTCATTATAAATTTCGATATAAGAAACTCTGTAATCATAAAACATAATCATATAAATATACTCAATAATATATAATAAACTCCTTAATATTTTATCACAATATTCACTGTTATTTAAACGTAAGAAAAATAAATAAAGCTGACCTTAACAAAAACTCAAGTCCACAACTATTTGTAATTAATTGAAACATATATTCAATTGCTAGTGGCAATATTCCTGGTTCCTGCTCTGTCCCCATCATTGTATATGTTTTACCAGAACTGGTTTGACCATATGCAAATATTGTTCCATTAAATCCATTAACTGCTGCTTCAACAATTGGTTTTGTCACAGTATTAAATACATCGATATTTGTACTGTTCATATCAAATATATGATCTGCAAATAGTTTTGAATATCAATACACAATAGAGCAAAGAATTAAATTGATTCAATTGTTACCAAATAGACCAGGTTAAGCATGGCTTTGATATAATTACTTTCTTACCTTAAATCTTTATTATATCTAAGATTACAAAAGTCATAATATTTGTAAAACATACCGAAATGAAAACCGCCTTCCCCACGCTTCCTTAATTCAGGATCTGCAGGTAAAATTGAATTACCCTGGATCGTCCATTGTATTTGCAAATTGTCTTCCTTCTCACGTTTTATTAAAGGTCTTACTTTTATAGCCACTTGTATACTATCTGACATTTTCGAATATTTATCAAAAACCACACTTAACTTAATAATCTAAATTTATTCTCCGGCTAACGCGACTTCAGTCTAACGGTTTCGTCAGGTGCCGTCTTCTGCATTCAAACTGCCAAACGACCGTTTCTTCGACCGCTCGTATTCGCTCATTGATTTCAAATCCAAATACTGGTAGCTGATTGGTGAACTTCCCGAACAGCAACGATGGATTAATGCCCACTTCTACAACTCAAGTTAACCGAGGTTTAACTGGTTTACAGCAGTTAAACCAGGTGTAAACCAGTTATACTTCGGTTAATTTGAGTTGTGGAACCGGCCTGAGGTGAGATTCTGTACGACAATTCAATGGCTATCAAATGTGGTCTACAAAATCCCGCTACTGAGTCCCAATAAGGCCGTTATTTTATTAGCGCTACAGCCACAAGCGATTGAGCAACAGAGCTCGAATAAGAAGTTTGATTAGAAGCAGAGAACGTTCAGCGGAAGTTCTCCCATTCCGCTATTTCTCTGCAACCAATCAGAATCTTTCTTTCGCATTTTGTCGCTCCGTCGCTTATCGTTTTAATGCTAATGAAAACTCGTCCTTAATGAAATATCGGGCTAAAGATACTTTCACTCGCTATATTACTGCAAAATTGCATGCAACAAACGTCTCTTTGGTTAAAAAAACGTTGACGCGCCACTTCCAACGACCTTACCCGAAAACAGTTGTGGCGCCACCTGCAGTTTCGATTAAAAAATACAACTACGCGACACGACGACTCACGTAACTACAGTACGCACTATAGTATCAAGCTATAGTTGTGCGGAAGACATGGCGGACAAAGAGGATACTGAAAAGACCATCGCCGAGGACATCGTTGTCACCAAGTATAAAATGGCCGGTGATATCGTAAATCGTAAGGAAACGATGCATCATTATTTTATGAAGTCACGGGGACAAAAGTCTTGGCGCCACAGCCTCTGGCTCATAGAATTTTCATGTATTTCCTCCAGAGCCATATGGAATGTGGCCCGCCAATGCCGGGCCCTCTTGCCATGTGGGCTGGTTGGCGTTCGATTCTATTTTGCCATTTTAACGTGACGAATGCCTGTATCTTTCGTCGATTAAACCTTGCGAATCTGCTTATTTTCCCGAAGGCAGTATCAAGTATTTACCCATGAGAGCGTAAATAAAAATTTTGCCTACCTGCATTTTTATCAGCATCAAATCTTGGCACCCTCATGTCCTTGCCTTTCCGACTCGGCAGTAATATACTAGGACGTGTATTTACAATTCTACTTGGGGACGAGTTTTCAATTGTTAAACGTAGTGCTTTGTATTCTGATGCTTTTAATAGGTGTTCGATAAAACTGATAGAGAAAAATTGGGAATTTTTCAATGCTAAATTATTAGATGATTATAAAAATAATTTGAAGAAGCTTAATTATATTTGTTGAGAGTATAGATCTGACAAGGATTAATGTTTACAGGGGTCTTAAAGCAGGTCTTAGACAAATGCGTTGCCGGTGCTTCTGTGCGAGAGATCTGTGAATATGGCGACAAGCTGCTCGTAGAGGAAACTAGCAAAGTTTTCAAAAAAGAAAAAGAACTAAAAAAAGGCATTGCTTTTCCAACATGTATATCGGTTAATAACTGTATTTGCCATTTTTCTCCTATTGCCAGCGAACCCGACCTTATTCTGAAAGATGAAGATATGGTTAAAGTGTGAGTATAATTTGATTGTTGCACTCATCAGATTTTCAATTCTTATTTAATCAATCTTGAGACGTTATAATTTCTTTCCAGTGATCTAGGAGCTCATGTTGATGGATTTATCGCTGTAGTAGCGCACACTATCATTATCGGTTCCTCGATAGAAAAGAAAGTAACTGGTAGAAAAGCTGATGTGGTCTTGGCTGCTCATTATGCATCCCAAGCTGCTTTGAGGCTGCTCAAACCAGGCACAGAGGTAATAAATTGCTATCTTGCAATTATTTATCACTTAATTACTGCATCATATTCCTTACGTTCTTGCTTTCACAGACATACACGATAACCAGCACCGTAGAAAAAATTTGCGATGCTTATAAGTGTAAACCGATTGAAGGGATGCTCAGTCATCAATTGAAGCAGTTTAAAATTGATGGGGAGAAAACTATCATTCAGAATCCTAATGACGCCCAGAAAAAAGAACATGAGAAGTTTACCCTTGAAACTCATGAGGTAAATGTTTTATGAGATACAGGTACATTATTAATGTGAATTAATGTGCAATTTAAGTAACTCAACACAAACAATATTTTAGGTGTATGCAATGGATGTACTAGTGAGCACAGGTGAAGGTGTAGGTCGAGAACAGGATACCCGTGTCACCATATATAAGAAAACTGAAGATACTTATCAACTTAAATTGAAAGCATCGCGCATGTTCATCTCAGAAGTTTCTCATAAGCATGGACTTATGCCCTTTAATTTGCGTACTTTCGAGGATGAAAAAAAAGCGAAAATGGCTGTTATAGAGTGCGTTAGTCACAGATTGATTGAGCCATTCCAGGTAATTTTTTCGTAATTGCCTGCATAGTAAAGACTAGAATAAAGCTGTAGAAAAAATGGATCTTTAATTCTAATTACAATACACAGAAAATATAATAAATTTCATATTTTTCAGGTGCTTTACGAGAAACCAAATGAATATGCAGCACAGTTCAAGTTTACAGTACTTTTAATGCCCACAGGCTCACATAAAATAACTGGAATACCTTTTGATCTAGAAGCTTTCCAGTCAGACTGTGTAGTAGAGGATCTTGAATTAAAGGTAGTACTTCTCACCTTTACAGAAATATCTCTTTCCTAAAGTTTTAACATAATAACTAACTCTGTCTTCAATCTTCTATAATTACAGTCTCTATTATACACCTCGGCAAACCCTAGGTCAGCAAAGAAGAAGAAAAAGAAGGCTGAAAAAGCAGTGGGCGAAGTGGCGATGGAAGTTGACGCCAAGGCCTAACACATTGATTCTACAATACCTGACTCACTGACATCGTGCACTCTCCTTCCTTTTTTAGCCGAAGCGACATGAAGGGTGATGCAGGACGCTTTTGAGGAACCCAGTGCGCGAGTATCATGCAGAGGGCAAAAGATTACACAGACGTAAATTAATTCTGTCAAATCGTAAGCACTGCCCTTCAACGTGTGTGCGGAACGTAAACGGTTGGTGCCACGCGTGCCTGCGTTTACGAATATTTTGCTCTGCACAGATTCACTCCTATCATGCGCTGCATTTCATACTCATCGACACTTACTTCGGTTTTTGTATCAGAGTATAACTTGGTAGACCATGGTATCGTTCAATTAAGTACAGAGGTGCCGATAGATCTTTGAAGATATATCCGACACCTGTATTAGCGCAAACGTAATTTACATACGTCTGTAATGGTTGAGTCCACATTGTTTGTCTTCAAAGATATTTAGATCAATCTAGCTAGAGAGGAATGTATCACGTGTGTATGTATTGTATGCACTTTGGTGTACCTACAATACTCTTTTCAGTATTGCTATTACCCTTTTCTAAGCGGTCTCCTTGTGACCTTCGCGAAGGTCTGTTCTTTTAGACGCCTTTCCTCTATTGTGAACAATCTGATTTTTCTTTTGACAAAAATTATTATAATTAATAGACCGATGAACTCACTTTGATGAGCTGTGCCCAATTTTAAATACGATCCATTTGAAAATCTTTGCTGCTAATACAGTAGTACACTGCTGTAATTCACGGTTTAACGTGAAAGGAAGATGCCATGAGAAAACACCTAACTACTGACATTGTAAAATTTGAGCAAGTGTTGACACTGGAACTCTGCATAAAATTAATAACAATGACCTCGGTGTATTTCGTTAAAAATTCCCCAACTGACGATAATGGTTACTCTTTGCATAATCGACTCGGTACGATCATGTACACTAGGTCAACTTTCATAGGAAGCATTTATTGCCACGGGTTATTCGTGAGAAATGGGGGAGTGAACATTGTTTTGGTAAAACAACATTTGGGGAAGTATCCGAATTGCCGAGGGGGGAAAAATACATAAAATTTATGGAATATTAATACTATGTAATGATAGTTTTATATGAGGATGATAGACGATGTATCTGTTATAGATATTTTTTCTACTCGAGTTGCGCATATGTCGGATGTTATCGAGTGTAATTGTAAAACAAATTGTCTTAGGCCAATATGCACGGTCCTATCTGTGCGCGAACCGTGTCTTCGCATTAAATGTGACACTTGGGCTTTGCCAACTAATACGTTAAGTTCTAAAATATATTTCAATAAATTGATTGCCGATCGACTAAAATTTCTCTTCGTGTTTCCTTTGCTCTGATATCTAAGAGAAAAAGCTATCTGGATATCATATGTACAAATTGCAACTGGAAACAAAATTCTTTTGGTGCAGAGAGAGGACTGTGCATAACCATAGAATGGAAATAAGAGTAAGACAAATGAGATACATCATGCAAGGAAATAGGTAACGTGAAAAAAAGTTCAGTAGATGTGTCTGTGTGTTTAACGAATCATCACATTTGTCCCATTTTTGTCGCACAGATCAAAGCCTCCAAAAGTTATACCACATCTATCTGTTAAATATTAGGAAAATTACCTAAAGACCAAGAGTTGACAACTTACTATTATAATATTGTATCAATTTTATTGTGTACCATTCGTCAATAAGTTTGCTACGATCCATGACTTCTAACTGGAGCAAAGTAAAAATATAGAACAACATTAGAAACCATCATAACATTACTGGAATTCTCTAGACTTCTTCCAGTATTAAAAGTCTAGCTATCGTTTTAAAGTAATGTTACAATCATAGTATTTCATACAAATCATGACTCAAATTGAAAACACATCATACTGCACTTGACATCCATGTAAATGATAAATGCAGATTTTCCTTTGTTCAAGTTTGAACATAAGTTACTCCATGACAACATCAGTTTGTGGAAATCTTAATTTTAACACAACAGTATTTGGTGTTGTAACATCGGCAACCATTAGTTCAGTTCCATCTATAAGACCTAGCTCTGCTAGAGTTTTAATTAAATTATCTCTCGTCTTTTCTTCAATACTGCTCACTGTTTGCATGTAGAGGGTTTTATTTTTTCCACCGATATTGGCTGTAATACCAGGGTTCTTCAATTGTAAGTCTGGTCTCTCACACAGCAAAGAGATGAAATCCTTCAGTTTGATATTTGCATTCTTTACTTCGATTTCTTTAGGAACTTGGCTGCAAGCCAAACAGTCATCTTTTCGCTCTGCTTCGTAAGTATATGTATAAATGCCATCCAAGTTATTAACAACCTACAGAAACGACATATTAAGTGTTATTACAGAATATACCATTTATAAGTTAAGTAAATAGAAATTAATTAACTGCTCAATGTTTTAATACACTACCATGTAATTATTCAATGATGAGCAACAACTAGTTGCAAGTTTAAAGACTTCGGTAGCGCAAGTTGCAGCAATTGTTGCATTTGTAGATGCAACAGCAGGAATTATGTTCTTTACAACTCCTTGTACTAATCTGTAAGTTAATCCTTGAATACCAAATTGAGTGGCTCGGTCTGTAGATTTTTCATAAATCCAATTGATATGTTGTGGATCATCTCCGTCAATGGTACATTCAAATGGATTTTCCTTTGGCCATTGTATTACCTTGACATACTCTATACAATGTTCTGGCAATCGAGGTGTATTCGCTATCGTACATAGTGGATACGTAACCTGTTCATAACATGGGAAAGAATGATCGTCATTTCTGATCTTACAATATGATTTTTCTTATATCCTCACCTGAGGTGGATAAAGATCTAATGTGCACTCAATGCAGGCAGTTAATCCAGGCAAGATAATCCTAGCATTTCCTTTGAAACCTTCGGTACCTCCATCAACCATTGGTATTACACTGGACTGATCCAATTCTCCATCTTCATACTCTAGCAGTGATATTAACATACCATTAATCCATCTTCTCGCTACTATTGAATCTAAGCCACAAACTATTATGTGAAACTGTCGATAGAACACATCTTCTGTATCTTGAATTTTACAAAAGTGTGGCACCACGTTGCAACCTGGTATCCTAGCGTTAATGAATCTTGCAGCGACATCAGCTTTTGGAGCACCAATGTCCTTATGGCGAAATAAAAATTGCCTAATCAAAAGCAGTACTTGTCTCGATCAATTGTAAAAGGATATAGATGTTTAGAATATATTATAACTTATAACTTACCTGTTTAAATTGGACAATTCAACGGTATCCATATCGATAACGTGGATCTGTCTAAACCCCATCAAAGCTAGATTTTTTAGTAACTCACAACCTAACCCACCGGCACCAACGACGAGGAGTTTGCAACTTTCCATTAAAAATTGTAAGGTGTCCGCTGATGGTTCGAAATCCGGCCGGCAAAACGGTCCAGATCGTTCCAAAACTTTTCGCAAATGACTCCATCGTCTATGTGTATGATCTGATCCCATTCTTTAACGAATGAAGAATGTCCAATAATTCCTTGCAAGTTTTTCAACACGAAACGTCAATAACGAACGTCAACGAAGGTACGGTTCAGCACGGTCGCGAAAGTTTGCAGTTCGTACCACGTGACAAATAGAGTCATCGGGGTTCTTTCTTCTTTCTGCTTATGGCTTCAAAGTCTTAACCGCGCAGACTCTATTAATGCCAACTTATTTACTGACGGGGCTATAAGCCCTGTTCAGTTTGTTTCCTTGAGACGTGGTTGTATCTTTTGCTATTTCACTGTTACGCTGTTTTATTGTGATTATATCCTTGATACGTGGTTGTCTCTTCTATTATTTCACTGTTTCACTATTTTGTTGTGTTGTATCTTTGTTTAATCAAGATTTCGCTTAATTTGCTTAGTTGGGTATTTGCGTAGTTGGTACTGAAGACTCCCGGCCAGGGTTGATCATTTTGCGTTTTTCGAGGTTTTTGACGTATATTACGTAAACCCACGTAGTTTATCGGAGAAAATCAAAGAAAACCAGTAAATTACGTTTTCAATTTGAAGGATGCCGCAGATGTGCGATATACAGCATCCCGCTAGGTTATAAACGAGTTTTAGCACCTATGTAAACACGTAAATATTTTTATGGAATGATAAATTAATGTGCGCTTTCGTTTCAAAATTGTTTAGAAACTTACGTTTTCAATATGGCGGATGCCGCAGATGCATTGGATAAATTCGATTTTAGGTGCGTCTCTACTATCTAGTTAGTTCAGTATTAAATAAAATCAGGTGGTGGAGACGTACCCAAAGCTTAGCTTACCCAATCCGGTATTGAATAAATACCGCCGGTAGAGATTTACAATTAGTAAGAGAATGACAACAGTTACAGTTATTAGCAAATGGTTTTTCTTAGTTTAACCTCATATCGTGTTTTATTGAAACAAGGAATATCGAGGGGATTTTTCTTTCTTAATTGGAAAGCAGGCCAATGTTATCATTTTGTAAATCTGTACAAAATGTGAAAATAAAGAATGGACCATGAAGAAGAGTTTTTGAATACATTTTTTACACAGGTTACACAACTGTGCTTTGACAAGGCGAAGGAATCAGTTGTACGTTTCTAATGTTTTTTCTTAAATCTCTCGAAAATAAAATATCCTTAATTATGCATGAAAAGATGCATGGTTATTCGATGCAATTCATAATTTCACAAATATTTTGAAGATGTATAATTAATGACCTATGAAATTGTGCATTATCTTCCGTTTACTTTTGATTAAAAGCTATACTTATACCATTCTGTATAATGAAAATCTTTTTTTCAAATATTATTGCTGTAGGAAAAAGAGAGAGAGTCATGTCGATTAGCACAAATGGGACCATGGGGCATGTTATTAACCCTTCTTCCACAAGTGGCAGTAGCAGAACGATCATATGCTGATTTAGGCTTTCTTCATACCAAAAATAAAGGATTCTTACGAAAAGATGTAACTATTAATAGAATAATATAAATTTACTGAAAAATCGTTTCGACTATATTGAAAGTTTTATTATTGTTTAGAATTCCCTTAAAACCATGTATGAGTCGTTACGAGCAGATCTACGGAGAGTTGAAGAAGTAACACGTTCGACAAATACTATTGGAGCTATAGTTGCTGAAGTTTCTAGTCAACTTTGTCAATTCATTGCAGCAAGAATACAACAGATTGATTTGTAAATATTTCTTTAATTTCACTTTGCTCTTACGTTGTTTTCAGTTGAAAACTAATTGTTATCTTCCAGTTATGAAAAGGTATATAATATGAGTGCAAGTGGAAAAGTAATGAGACATCCTGAATTATTACAAACCATAACAGCTATCGCGGATACTCATTCTTTATCATGTTCTCACCTGGCATTAACTGCTATCAAAGCTGCTTTAACGTAAGTTACTTATGTAAATTTAAACATGGTATTGGTTTTGTTTATTATTTTTAACTTGTCATCTTCTTCGAACTGAAACACGGTAGTAATATCTTACATTTTTTATATTTTCTTTAGTTTGGAATGTGAGATTTTGGTGCAATTAATAAAAGCACAAATTGAAATTCAAAACTGGAGATTTCTGCCGTCCCTTATGGCGCTCTATGGAGCACAAGCTAGAATGTTAGCTTGGGAACGAACGTTACAAAGCAAAGAGGTTGGTAACATGAATATTGAACTAAATCGAGAACGGTTTCATTAAGTTATGTTTCACAGTCTTGGAAGTTGGGTTTTGGTGCTACCTTTCTAAAAGCCAATCAGCAGCCAGCATTATATCAGTGGTTAGTGAAACTACGAAATGCTATTTTAGCAAAGTGTTCCTTATATTTTCATACAACATTGAGCCAACAAACTAGTCCTGGAGAAATGAGAAACATTATGAGTAAACAGAACGTAGACTACTACCATAAGTGAGTTAATCAATTTTTAACGAAGCACTTAGAATTTTGGAAGAATGGTGTGGAATGTTTTTTTATATATTTATTTTAGATTGCAAAGTTTTCAAAAAAAGTATGATGTTGTAGCAGTTTTATTAGTATTTGATGCAAGAGGAACAGATGATTTTGGACCTGGATACAGACATCCAGATCGAGATCCTGATACTTCAGAAAACTTTCCAATTGTTGTCAGTTACCCTAGTGTAAGTGAAAACATAATAAGAAGAACTTATTAGATGATGTATTTTCAAGCTCCAGTGTAGTAACAATCAACTTTTACCATAGATGTTTATGCAAAAACCCTCAATTCATTGGACAAACATTAGAACAGCTATTAAGGAGCGTTCTACCGACCTTCAAAATATGGACAAAATCGTTTACACAAAAAGCTTAAAGGTAATGCGTTGGTATTTACTTAATATAGAATTTTTTTGCAGTAGTATAATAAAGGAACACATTTTTTTAGGATCTATGCACATATGCCATGTATAATGTAGATCCTAGGATGACCCTTGTAACGGTATTTGAAAGTGGCAAACAGAGGGATAAGGAGACGTACGTAAGTACGTTTATGACAGATCTGTGTATCCAGCTAAGATGTGTGAAAATATATGAATCTTTAAAGTTATCCAAATAATACAAGACTTACGTGATGGCAATAATTTCTAAGTCACCTAAGAAATGCCACGTGATGAAGTTCCTGGACAACAAAAATTGTACAACATCAGTGATAATAGTAATTTTTAATCTATCTTTCTACCGAATACTTCCACTGTCTTAATGGTTATCTAACAGTGAAAATGTTTAAATTGCATTTTTAACTTCATATTGGATGATGTAATTCATTATTATAGGGCACTTTTAAATCGATTGTCATTAATGTCTTATATGTATGAGCTAAAAATATTCAAGGTTTTAATGAAATGTATATGTGTTTACTAGAGTGATTGAAATTAATTAATAACACAATGACTGTTTTATAGAGACGTGTAGTTAAGGTGTTTATAATTTAGTCTTCATTGAACAAGGCAACATTTCACTTTTATAAATTAAAGTACAATGCAAATGCTGAGTTATGCTGCTAATTAATGTACTGCTTCAGAATGAATTATTGGAATAAAACAACATATATTTTTTTATGACAGATTTTTATATTTCTTATACTATAGTAGTTTTGATAACTGTTTATGATTAACTAGTAACATCAAGAAACTTGGTAGAGTTTCGAGCCAAACTAAATAACTAACATAAATCAGTTCAACTGTTATTTTTCAGTTTCCATTAAGGTTCGGTTCCACAACTCGAGTTAACTGGAGTTTAACTGATTTACACCTGTTTTAAACCTGTACACTAGTTGAACTCGGATTAACTCGAGTTGTGGAATTGGGCCTTGCGTTGCCAGGTTATAATAGTAAAAATTTGTCATTTATTATTTAAATTTTGAGAAGTAACGTTTAAATATAATTTGTCATGGCGATATTACAAATAAAATTTGAGAAATTTGTCCAAATCTTTCATCCGTCAAATCTATTTTAAATAGAATTCGATCCTTACGTAACCAGAGATGCTGGTGCCGCCTGATGACTGATTTATATAAGCTTTTCTGGTGTACATTTGTCTAAGCCTCAATTCAGCCTATCCTAATAGTAATCTAGAATACGTCTACATTCATCGGCCATGTTTTAAGCTTTTCGTTGCGGGCGGAAGTGACGCGCCGGCAAGATGGCGTCGCTTCCATTCGGGAAGTAGCGGCAGTGGTAGGCCGTAAGTTCTTCGTATCGAGTTGTTTCAGTTCGCGAATGCATTCAGCGCTTCGCGGGCCCCACTAGTTTCGGATAAATCGGAGCGTGGCAAGATTTCGTGATCGTCGAGGGTGACTCGTGTAGGGTCACTGGGAAGCAATTAATCGTTACGTCTCGGGAGATCCAGCCCGTGAGGAATTACCCGGTGCGAATAATGGCTGATACGGAGGGGAAAAAGCTGACGGAGCTGCGGGTTATAGACCTTAAAACTGAGCTGGAACGCCGTGGGCTCGACAAGACCGGCAACAAAGCTGCGCTTCTTGAGCGCCTCGCTAAAGTAAGACCTACTTTCGCTGGAGTTTTTCTACTTGAACGTGATTCGGTGATTGCTAACGACGTTGTTCCTCCTGACGCCATTTTAACCCTATTGATCTCGCGAGTTTTCGATTCTGTTGGCCGCGTGCGCGATGAAAGGGCGTTCGCATGGCGTCAGAAGATCGTCGATAAGTTTGCGTACTGCTTCCGAGTTTTCTAATGTCGCATAAGTGCTGTGTCAAATTATATGTATTTCGATTCACATAGACGACGCGAAACGTGCAGGTCGCGTTAGATGCGCGTTTATGAGATGATTGAGACATCCCGCTTTTACAGCCGCGACCTCTTTTAGCGCCTGTGGACCAATCCATTGGGCAGTGGCGTTTTGGTATGGTTGCACGTATACATTTAAATTTTTTTATAGGCAATTAGCGAGGAAGGGGGAGATCCAGAAGAGTATCTTATTGTACCATGTGGTGGAGCCCCCAAGCCTAGTCCAAGGAAAAACAGTAGTAAGTATTGTGTGCAAACATTGAGATCGAAATGCAAACTTATGTATTTTGATAAATTAGGTCGAGACATAAGTCCATATGAGTTTTTAACAATTTGAAAAAAAAAAAATCTTAACCCAACGGGATACTATAGATTTGAGGGAATTCATAAGTACTTGAATAAATGTATTTATTTTAAATTGAGGCATATGCTTCCAAGGCATTCCTTGAACGATTTAAATGGAAAACTGCATGAAATTGTACCTCGATCCAATAGCTAAATTCATGGAATGAGTTCTGTAATAAATGTTTCTTTCTAGCTGCCGGATTAGCTAATCAGGATGAGTCTATGGATGTATCTGACCAAGTAAAGGAAGAAAGCACAGATAAGCCAGATAACGCTGCTGCACCAAAGAGTAAGGAAGCAGTTACCGTCTCGGATGATACTACACCCAAAAAAGAAGTAAGGTTCTGTGCTACATTTTTGAAATTATGCATTTCTTGCCTATAAATACTAATACTTTTTAATTCCATGTAGCCTGAAGTTCAAAAGGCATCGGCGAAAGAAGATCCTAAAGAAGAAGCAAAACCTGCATTGCAGAAAACCTCTCCACAAGTAGAGCAGACTTCTGAGAAAAAAGTGGAAGAAAACACTAATAAGATGGACTCTGCTGCACCTCCTGCAGCAGTCGAAGCTAATGGTATCGACAACGAAGATTCAATAAATTTAACAATTGGAGAAGACGAGGAAAATCTTCTGGCCGAAGAGGTAACCAAAGTTTTTGTACCGAGTTCAAGATGAACTCTGTTGGTTCATTTACCCGTGCTTCATAATGAGATAAATTTTAATTGATACTTTAATCGCACGTTTCTTTGTAATTCCAGACGGAAACAACAGAAAAACAAAAGGGTAAGTTTCGTTTCTTCCTACAATTCTTTCGTAGTTTTAATTTCTAGCAATACACATATAAATCTATAAGACGAAGGTAAAGTAATACTGATACATTTCGAGTGGATCACTCGAACCTGCTACATCGCATTCGAGCGCATATCGCAAATATAAGAACGCGAACAGAGGCAAGTTTGACATCGTGCAAAGTTTGCACATCCGCTCCACATCTTCTTGCGTCCCGATCGGAGATGGACATCCGGACCATTCTGGACAACGGATCAGTACCAACGACTCTTCGCGTAGCACCATGAAGCTAAGAGACATCGGGGAAGCTGTCCTAGGCTAGGAACGACGGCGGTTCCGGCCCGGGGGAGGTTATACTCTTGTCGCTGCTCAATCACCGCCGACCGCACTGCTTCGGCAGCCCTGATATCGCATATAAGTGCTAGTCTCTAAGTTAGTTAAATTAGAATTTCTTACGCAATTACATTAATCCTACCTGCCGCATAGAGCATCGCTGGATCAAAACCGTCGATTCTCCGATTACGGATTAACGAAGAGCCAAGTTCACTTCAAGCCTTCAAAGTACACACCGAAGTCAGTGCGCGCGCGAGAGAGCACTGCTCGTCGAGCGAACGAGGACCGAAGACTACTTGGAAGCTCCAGGGTCAAGATTTCGTCATCGTCGTCGTCATCGTCATCGTCGTCGTCGTCATCGTCGTCCACTTCGTCGTCGTCGAAGAAGAAGACCGACCGCCGAGGTCGCGAGTGTTTTAACATTGCAGGACACCTCGGCATCGCACAAGGCACCACCCACCGCGCCACTGCTTTCCCCTTTCTAGCGCGTCCACCTCGTCCTCCCCCGAAGACGGACAGCCCTGCGCAGGACATCTCCACGAGCACGTCCAGCCCCGCCCTGGAGGACCGGCGGCGTCGTTGTCGCATCCCATTGGGCCCGTCGCCGTTCCGTCACCGTTTCCTCGCTGGGTCCACCCTGACGAACGGTCCCTCGGTGGCTCGGGGAACTTCCAGTCGGGAGTGCGAGCTCCCAGGGGGGGGCCGTCCAGGGCGGAGGGAGAGTCAGACTCGTCAGAGTGTGTGACCTCTTGCTACCTTGATTGTTCCTGCAGATGGAGGAGAGAAGAGATTGCAAGAAACCGCGAAGAAGGCGGACTCCAAAGGGAGCGGCAGAGGGGAGCTCGGCAACAAGGAAGGGCTCTCATCGGGCGCGAGCGTCGGGATCAAGAGCAAGCAGGACGGTGTCGATGGAGGTGGCAAGAGGTTGGTCTCACATTGTGCTAAACGGTTCACACACAGTGGTTCGGCGACCGGCCAGTTAAAAAAAAGTATGCCTCGCACGAGAGTCTCCGCTAGGGACGCGCCGCTCTCTGTAATCTCTCTGTCTCTCTCTGTCTGGATAACTCTCTCCGCAAGCTGGACACGTAACGAGAGGGCGGACGACGTGCTCTCTCCCCCAAGATGTATCGTGTATGTCGGTTCGAGACGCAAGACCGCTTTGTTGTCTTATATTTTTCCTTATGTCGAGTCGCCACCGAGTACTCCTCTCCTCGCGTATACACCTGCACGCGGGCTTACTGTCTCACTTTGGGAAATATGTTAAGGTTTCGAGAAATTGGCTAGCAAACTTCGGCGTGGCTCGATCGGACGAGCTGCCTCGCGGATGTCGAATCTCGGTTCGGTCCTCGCGTAAGACGGAACGCCCGAGGCTAGATCCATCCCTTTTCCCAGGAAGTTTGCTGAATGGTAAAACGAGCAGCGTAGTCGATAGGAGCGATATCCGGTGCGAGCCTCGAGACGAGGCTCGGATCCGAAAAGGTCGGCGACTCGAGGTCGCCGGCGATGGACATGGTCGCGTTCACCACGTCGACTCTCGGGCGCACGAAGATCTCATGTATCAGGTAATGGAAGTGTCTCGCCGTCGATTGTCCGATAGGGGAGAAACCTCGACGATCCGTGACCTCGAGAGCGGACCCCATCGATATCCGGAAGAAGATCCTGCGACTTCTCTGGACCTTCCGAGGATCCTCGGAGCTGGGCTCGGCTACTGCGAGGTACCAACCACCGAGAGAGAACCAGTGATGGATGCATCGTACGAGCCGCTGGATTAAGATTTGCCCCTTGGGCGAATATACGGACTCGCGGAAACACCGGGGATTTCTGAGCGTTAACGTGAGAGAACACAGATCAGAGAAATCGATGACGATCGTTCACGAGGAGAGACAACGGCGATGAGGCTGAAACGTTGACGCAAGTTGTAAGAAAAAAAAAAACAAAAAAAACAAAGAGAGATGAAAAGAAAAAGCGACCCATACGATTGGTAAAGGTTGCTAGCCAAATTTGTGCGCTTAACATAATTTCAGAGGTTCTCGTTAAGCCTTGGAGGACACTAGATTTTAATTCTTTGGCGTTCAATCCGGGTACCTTTTCGCGCGGTTTCCAGACCTCCAGAGAATTAATGGCTCATTGTTCTTTCCAGCAGCGACATCGTCGGCAAAGCTCAGAAGCGAGATGAAAAGGGTGGGTAAAATTTCATCAAATTGTGGAATGAGTATTCAATTATTAGTATTATGGTAGAGTGATATTTGTTAGTCGGCATGACGGTACCGTAATCATCTCTCCAAGCGGACCGGAATGGATATGTGATTGGGTTTGTTTCTCGCGATTGCAGAGAAGAAAACCTCGCAGATCACCGCGGCCAATGCGAGCAGCAGGAACCTATGGGTCTCTGGATTGTCTTCGACTACCCGTGCCACCGACCTGAAACAGATATTCTCGAAATATGGAAAGGTGATTGGCGCCAAAGTGGTGACGAATGCAAGGACTCCTGGGGCGAGATGTTACGGATATGTCACGATGTCGACCAGCGAGGACGCTGCGAAATGTATCCAGCATTTGCACAGAACCGAACTCCACGGCCGTGTAATTTCTGTAGAAAAGGTAGGCATGGTGCGTTTGTTTCTGAACATACAAATATTCGTAAACCTGACGATGACTTAGAATTATCCATTTCCGTGCTTCAATTGAAATGCTTAAGTCGGTAGAAGAATGGTCGACTTGATATGGCGCACGCGATTACCTGGAAATGAGTTAGAGCCTTTATGGTAACGTTAATCTTTACATTGGTCGTTTAATCGTTAGGCGAAAGGTGACTCGCAGCAGGGTCACATGCGTAAACGAGATTCTAATAACGGGAAGCCCGAGAAGAAAGAGGAGAAGGACAAGGTGAAAGAAAAGGAAGATGTCGCCGATAAGAAGGAGAAGGAAACGAAAAAGGAAACTGACGAGAAAGGATCCGAAGTCGGTGAGTGAAGACGCTGATGCTGTTATTCGCATTTGCGTTTCGTGTACACGATCAATGGCCTCATTGTTGAACTTAAGTCTAATCGATGGTTTTGAAAACAATTTAGTAGCTAAGAAATCGGAAGAAAAGGAGAAGAGCGAGACTGCGGAGGAGAAGAAGGCCGAGTCCGCGGAGAAGAAGGATGAGGAGAAGAAAGACTCCGACGCTCGGTCAACGAAATCTACCAGCAAGAAACCGGAAAGCGAAAGGGGCAAACGCACCGAGAAGCGAATTCGTTCCTGGGATCGACACCGTTCGCGAACGCGTTCACGCAGCAGAGAACGTCGTCGACGGGACGATATATTAACGTTCGCAAAAATAAGGGTTAGCCTAGTTTTCATTATTCTTCCATTTGCGCTCTTTTTCGCTTTAGAATCTACCAGCAAGTACAAGGAATGGCAAATTAAGGAACTAAGTAGAGTTTCGCGTCAAATACACGTATAAGCGCTTAAAGAGCGTAGGGTTATAGGTGCGGTAGACGCGAAACACTCACCTAGTCATTGTCTTCGATGTTTAACCCGGCGTGTCAACTTGGACAGAAGATGTCTCCTAAACCCCTTGACTGAGCAATGTCAACTTTAACCAGGTCGTTGAGATTGGAACAGTTTCCCGCATTGTTTAAGCTATGAACGAGAAACCGATTGTTACATTTAATACAGAGAGATATGCAGTTTTAAATGTTTCACTTCGCATTGATAGCTTGGAATGATCTTTCCGTCGACCGCTTTTGGGTTTTTATTATCTCCAGTCTCGGAACCCTTGATAAATGCCTTTAATCGCAGGAGGAGCGGGAAAGGCAGAGACTGCGCGAGAGGGAACGCCTGCTCCGGGAGGAGGATCGAAGAAGACGGGAAGACATGGAACGGCAGCGCGAAATCGAAAGACGTCAGAGGGAAGAGGCTGCGCGGCTGGAGAGAGAACGGGAGAAGCTGCGGCGGGAACGGGAGCGGATCGAGCAGGAGAAGGCGGAATTGTTGCGACTGGAACGCGAGCGGCAGAAACTCGAGAGGGAGAAATTGGAACGCGAGAGACTGGAGCTGAAGAGGCAGCAAATGCGTTTGGAGGAAAGTCGACGCCCTCCGCCTCCACCTTCCATCAAGAGGCCTTCGAGCGACAGAAGGGACCCGAGAGATCTCTACGTGGAACCGGAAAGGAAGCGAATCACGACGGAGCATAATCGACGGATCAGTCCCGACAGGGTGGCGGACAGACGTCCGGAGATTCTGGACAGAGTCTCCGATAGGCGTTTGGAACAATCGCCGCCGTCTAGATACGAATCTACCAGGTGGGATTTTATGCCCATTTGAGGATAGGTTTATTACGCTACTATCGGTCATTAGTTAACAAATGCCCCGATATGTTAAAAGACGCGCTACTTGCGCACTCCTTATGGATTCCTTATGATTTCTTGTAGATCTTCTCAAGACATGGGCTTGAAGAAGGATTACAAGAGAGGCAGTGATTTCCAATCGCGAAGCAGCCGCCTAGACGCGTTTACTGAAGTCCCACGAACCAGAGAAGTAATCGTACGTCGTGAACCTCTTCCTGCTCCACCGTCGTCGATTGATCCACGCCAGGCGAAAGAAAGGTTGGTTTGGTCTGTTTTTTCTTTTTTTTTTTTCTTTTTTAATTTATTTAGGCAGGAAATCAGGATGTTAAGAAATTGTGTACGTAATTGATGCAGCTGATGCGAACGTAACGTAAATTTGCTGACTCGTGTGGCGATGGACAAAATGAAATTTGATCCTCGTCAACCTTTGAAAAGTACATCTTTTAGAATGGTTAATATAACGGACAATAATTGTGTTCCATGGGCGTCGTTTATCTTTAGGTACCAGTGCAATGTTCAGAATACATGTATTGCGAGTTCATTATGTTACGTTATTTAATTAAATGAACAGAATAATATTTCCCATAGATTCGTATTCGTTAATTTAACAATTTTTCCGACTTTGCACAGATACGATCGGATGTCTACCACTGCGTATAGTCGAGATCGCGAGGCTCGAAGAACGGAACCGGAAACGCACAGAAGTTCCAGAGATACTCACGGACGTTACAACGATAGCTCCAAACCACCAGGATCAAATACACCCCGTAAGTACAATTTATATTGGAATGTACGTTTGAATATATTCAAGCTCGCTGATACGTGACGCCGAAATCGGATATGATCATTAAATGGTAACGCTACTCAAAACAAGATGAAAAGTAAAAAAGAAGCAGTTTGGAAATAAATAATCAAGGCTTTATGAAATTATTCTGGGCATAAATTCGCGATGTAACGAAGTCCTAGATAATGAGCGCTCTTTGGCCTAATTGGCCTAACGTAGTTTGTTTAACAATCGATGGTGGTAAATGATTTTTACGTGAGTTATGTCGCATCCTAAGCACGGAAGTCATTGTCGTATTCTTTACTCATCTATGTTAGGATCAAGGGGACGGCCACATCTGCAATACATCAACTCTCCAACTGTCAGACATTTTTAAAACTATATATTTCATACATGCTATGAGTATCATCGTCACCCAAGGCGGTAATTCCTGCAAGCAGTAGTACTACAGAGTTATCGGAAAGGGTATCTCACGAGCGTCGTTGTAAAATTGCGATGCTTATACTGAACTTTAGAGTATAAGCATGGTGCAACGTAAAATAAACGGTACTCCTTGAGTACGACTTTGTAACGGCTAACGTCGGATTTAATGTGTCGCAGTGGTGGACCATTAAATGTTAAAGAATATATTTGATCAATTTTCGGAAGCTGTTTCCCTAATTTTAGAACCGCAGTGGCAGAATAGAAAGGACGATTAGTTATCGGTTCCCTCGTTTTCTGAAAATGATGTAAATATATTTTTTTATGTCTATCTGAACTTCTGTGAATTCTATCGACTGGGAAATAGTACGATGAAGAGCGACATTGGTACGATGTAATTTTTAACTGAACCGTGTATGCTTTATTAATAAAAAGTGGTTTGACTTGGAATATTCCGTGGCATTTTATTGTAGCAAGTTGGACCTTTCATCGGAAGTTACTCTTAAAGGATATATGAACGGACGAGGAAAAAGGTGGCCGGAAAAAATTATGCATTTTTTTTGTTTGTGTCGAAAGAAATCAAAGCGGCGCAAACATTGTAGCAGGCGTTTCTACGCTCGAGTATCATTGATTATAGACTTCCGTTATCTTCTAGATAACGTTTATGCGTGTCTTCAATCAAACCATAGTTTTTATTATAAAGCATACAAGACAGAAATACCTGAAATTTAAAATTCACGCGGTGGCCATTTAAGATATTTAATCTCGTGTTTTATTTGTTTAATCCTAATGTATCGGCATCACAGATACACATCTGTTTCATTAAAGAATAAGTACCGTTATAATTTCTAAACAATTGTTTTAACTTCTTTGTTTCCACTTTGCGACCAAAGTGATCTTCCTAATGACTTTTCTATAACTCTTTATGAGAAATCTCTCTGGATTAACGCTCGTTTTTATGATTTAGGCGAAAACCGGTACGCAGAGAACAATCGTTCGTCCAGTGGATGGCACTCTGGCCAAACCACCTCGAAGTCTTTCAACTCGGTGCCTAGCGGAGGTCCTCGCGATCCTCGCAGCGAGCCCTCCACCTGGAGCGGTCGCTCCTCCGAGAACGTGAACAGGTAACGATCCAGTTGTGCACCCCGCGCCTCGCTCATTGACCTCTTACCTCGAACAATTTTCTACGCTTTTAGTTGGCAAACCTTCCCGGATTATTCTCACCGCCGAGTGGGAAACGAGACATATTACAGACGCGTTTAATTCTCACAACAGGTGGAACAACTCGAGCAACATGGGAAACACAATGCGACACCCAGGCCCACCCATGTACCAGGGGGGTCCGATGCAGTCCATGGGGATTTCGGCCCCGGGCACGGGTCCGTCTTACGAGCGATTCGATCCGTACAAATCGTCGATGCCGAATATGAGGAAATATTAAGCGACATCTTATGAGGCTTTCGTAAAAGGACGCTACGTGCCGAGGGCAGAGCGAACGCGTGGGACACGTCTTTCATGGAGGGTTTTTCCATGGAAGATCAACGTTTCTCCCGAAGTACGATTTAGATTCCCTCGAGGTTGCACGCGAGCGTAACAGGTGATCGACTGAAACTTTAGAACCAGAGTCAACGTGTCTGCAGCTTATCGAATTGATCTTTAATCAAGCGCAATGAACTTCATAGCTTCCCCAGGACTCCGTTTTTAATGCGTGTACCATTACCTCTTCGAGCTTCTTTCCCGGCCGCTTCAATGTGGGCCGGTCTATCAGTTGTGCCGATTTCACTGAATTCAGCGAACAATTGTTCATAAACTTATTACGTAGATAAACTGCTAGGTATTTAACGTCCTGCTCTGAAAGGAGTCGTCTCCGGGTCGACCGATCTACGATAGGCTTCCGTACTCGTGGAAGAGTCCTTATTTGTGAATGAATGGATGTGTCGCATGAATGTCGAGATTGTCCCGCGCGTAAATATGAAGGCGAGTAGATCGATGATCAATTTGTTGGGAGAGATTGTTGCAATGCGTTCTTGATCTTTTACACGCCGCGTTTTTTTTTTGTTTTTTTTTTTCGAGGGGGACTTACGCACATAAGCTGCGTAGAAAACACAATTAAGGTACGGTAATTGTAGTATATAAGACCTTGATTGAGTTCCCGCCTCAATATGTATTTGGCGCGAAACTCTATCGAGTTTCTTGATCATACAGTAGTACGCTCGAATACACGGACGTTAAGAAAGATGTATGTCAATGTAGACGCATAGTGTTATACGTGCGACGTTTAAGTAACTTTATTCGGGTCTGTTCGGTCTTTCGGGACGGATATTTTCTAACGATAACGTTATTCGTTGCTCCAGTAATTATCTTAATATTTCTGTTCGCACGGCAACAATGAGACTTCGACCAAAGCGAGAGAATAATCCACGTACGAGAGGGTGTTTCATCGCGATCAAACTCCGAGGGGCCGATAAAATAAGAGCGAACAGCTTGCAATTAGCTGGGATCTATTGGAAACGTGGAAAGTTCTGAACAATTCTCGGCCTCGTTTCCCTGTAGTCCCTTTACAATTACACTAGATGTTACACACATATATTGGCGTGTACTGCCTTTCTTGGATAGGAAAATAAAATGTTTAAATAACACGAATGGCCGAGACCTATTAAAAATTAAAATGGGCAAATGGGATTTAACTATCGGTCTTCGAAAATCAATTTCTCCAGTTGCAAAGTCTATTAACTAGAAGCAACGCGTTTAAGGTTAACATTCAAATGAAACGTGCAATTCGCAGATAACACGGGGAGAGTCTCGCTCGATAATGGGGCCCATTAGGATCTTGATAGAATTTATTTCGTAAAAAATTGAAAAAGAGAAACTGTCGATTTGAAATTTAATCAAAACATATAATCCACGTGAAACCGAAACTGTTTCCACCAGCCATGCCAGGCTTCCGAGCTTATTATAACGGCTTTTTAGCGTATCTTGGATTTAATATAATTATTTCTCGTCGCACGACTTTTGTTTCTCTTTTTCCACCGTTGCACAAGGATAACCGGGAGCATGAGATATTCCGAAGATCAGAGCGTCATTCAAGTTTCTAACGTTCCTCCGACCTCGAGTCGGCGATTCTTTGATTCTGTCTGTATATGCGGCATATTTATACAAGTACGGCGATGTAGTAAATTTCACCATCTATGAATAAACACGTAAGATATAGCAGCGGAAAGCGGTTTTTTCTTTCTCGTGGTAAGACGACAAAAACGATGCCCACGGTGTTCGACTCTCCACCGTTACGCAACTCCCTGTATCCGGGAACCGGAGAAGAAATCTGTAACGTTTCTCCGAAATTCGAGTGACGCATCCCTCCATTCTGCGATCCTTGAGTTTTACTCAACTGAATTCGGTAGACCATCCTTTGACATCGACAAACGGCTACTTGTACAATGGCGGACATGAATGCCTCCCTTACAGATACGGCATCGCCTGTGCAGGATGGGAGGGCATTGATGTCTCCCAGCGTACATACGAACCAACTGCACCAGGGGTCCGATTTTCGAGTTCATATGAATTTTGTTCGCATGCGAATAGATTCGCATAATAAATGTTGCATCGTTGCGAAATCGTGTCATCGGTGAACATTTGAAAATTGCATGGGAAGTAATTAATCTCGCGTGCGCAAGTTGATATCATGTAAACCCGAGAATCGGATCCCAGGTATACTCCATGAGAGACTGACGGAAATCCTGGGAAGACATTCATAAAGTCAAAGCAATTGGAGAACGGGAAAGTTCGAAAAATGTTAAGCTGGGCCATTTCCCAGAAGTCGGCGGCGCGGAAGTTACGAGCGGCGATCTCGAAAACGTTTATAAGTCGAGTGGAGAGGAAGGAACGTTTTGACCAGCGTTCAGGCGAGACGCGAGGAAAGAAGATCGAACATCCTTAATCAGTGGGACGTATCCGGGCTCTCGGAGAGGGAATTCCCAGGTCCTTGAAGCGATCGAGCCAAGTTGGAAGCGATCCCCGAGAGGAGCCATCGGAGTCGCCGGAGTAGGGAACACTTTCCCTTGGACAACGGATGGCGCCTCTTCGGAGGAAAGGAGAGAGAGTAAGAGTCCGGTAAGTGTGTCGAGGTCTTTTCACGGACAACCGTGTAGTCGGGAGTGTCCTGCGACCGCGACATCGTGCTCGAGCGACTCCGTTTCCTGCCTTTTAGTTTCTTTTTACAGGACGGGCGCGATGCGCCCAGTCCCCTGAGACTAGGAGGACGATCCGGAGTCGAGGCTCGAAATTGTCGGAGGATTTGGAATATATTTCTAATACCCTGCGACCGCAGCCCGAAGGAACCACCTGGCATGTTTCTCGAGACCCTCTAACCGGATATCTCTTTTCTGCCGCGAGGATGTCTCCTCTTTTGACAGTTCTTGGTGAGTACGGTGTATACCCACGTGGGTTGCAGATCTCAATTGTACAGTCGCGTCTGTCGATCCGACCTCGTTACTTCGTGCTGCCTCTGCATCGTGTAATGAAAAATTTATTAATAATAATAATTTACTACACCGGTATTTATTCTTTCGCATTTCTTCTCGATAAATTAAAGGGAATGATTTTCAAGAGTATATCTAAGTAGCAGTCGGGAGAAAGACCACGCTCGTAATCCGGGGAATAAGAATTTTCGATCATTTTTAATGTATCCGTTGTTTGCATTCGTGTTTAATGTATGTTTAATGCCTATTTAGTGTCTTAAGTATTCTTTTCATTCATGAGTTGTAAGAAGGGACAGTTTTAATGGTTTGGCACACATTTCGCGATTTTGTAATAGCGAGGAGGAGTAATTGTTGGGTCGCGGTGCATTAATTATCCTACCTTTTCTGTCCTCCACCGGTTACGTGTACAATTGTATTGACGAATGCTGAAGGACGTTTTCGATCATTCGGTACTATTCATATTATTGACATGGCATGTTTCATTCTGTACAGTTCATGTCCTATGACATCGAAAGAGTGACTGCGAATGCACAGGGCTGCAGTTTCTGTATCTAATTTAATTTAACTCTTCCCGCGATTGCCATTATTCTAGGACATTGACTCATTTCCATCACTGTTTATGTTCCTACAAATTAAAGTCACTGTATCCGTTCTCTCCGCCGAGACCTAAACTTTATAACACTTAGTAAATGTAGTGTTTTCAAATTTTTAATTTTTCAAAAAGACTTATTCTACTGCGTTATCATCCAGTTATTAGTCTCTTCATTTTCTTCAGTTGAAGCATTAATTATTTTAAAAAAATCGTGATCAATTAACGAAATACAAATGTATAAAATTATTCATTACATATGAAAAGGAGGAGCTGTCGATCAAGATGTAATTTAGTTCTAATTTGTCGAAGAAAAACTATTTTGACTGGTCTTGAACGTGGCAAATGTACATAAAAAAAAAAACAAGTACGACGGAATGAAAATCGAAAGCATTAAAATCCACGAAAGTGTTACACCGTGCATCGATAAGTAGATAGTGGATCGAACGACCCATTTCCAGAGCAAACAAACATCGGCTCGAAAGTGGATTTCTTCCAGAAATATTTCCTCGGCGAAATTGAAAGTCGAAATCGTGAAACTGTAAAAGATGGGTCGAGTGCATTATCTATCTCTTATATCAATCAAAGACCGCTTGGAAAGTGCACTCTTTTCTAATGGAAATTAAATGCAGTTAATCAGGGTGAAACTTTGTCTGAAAATGTGAAATTTTCTATAGACAATTTTCATTTTGAAAATGGAACGATACTGGATCGAATTCCCTATTGAAAACTGCGAAGAATATATTCGAAATTGAATTTTGTTTAGACGTTCAACACGAGGATAATTAGGGAATTCGACGTGTTATTCATTATTTAGGCGCATGGATAATTAATAGATGATGAGTAACCTATTTTCCAGAAGGAACAATGATCGCCTCGAAAGTAGAACATGCATACGGATGTGAAATGTGAGGACAATAGTACGACGTTCGACTATTTCCACTGTACTGCTGTCTTACGTACTCCTTGTGCTCATTTAGGTAGCGAGCTGTGCACTTAAGTAACAAACGGACCTTTTAAAAATAAACGGAGTACTTGTCTTGCATTTTGCCCGTCCATTCCCAGACACGCCGTGTTGAGCACAATTACTCGTGGTATAATCTTATAATTACGACCACCAGAAGGAGGAAGAAATAATCCCCTTTTAATGACTAATGATAACACAAAGCCTATAAATGAATCAATATTTACAAATACACTGACATATATAGTGCAAAACTATTTACCTTTTATGATACAAACTCTTTTGTATCGCATTGAGCGAATAATTTACTCTCTAGGCGAAATGATTAACTTGCAGCAATTTAAATGCTTCGTGCTAAAGAAATATCTCGGCCTTGGTAAAATTTATGTGATAAGAATCATCAGTATTGCAACTCAAATGATGAAAAATTAATATCAGATGGAACTGCTTCTGCGAGAAGAATATCATTTTGCAAAAAGAGTCGTATTTTGGACAAATCGTTGTATTGAACTCAAACGAGCTAGTACTTCAGAAAATTAAATATTGTTCGTAAGATGCCTTAATTTCGTTTGATTTTCTTTTGTTGATAGCAGCCAATAAAGATCTATTCGACGGAAGAATTGCTTTTTTTTAGGACGTAATTGTATCGCTCAGCGTGGTAAAAATAAACTCAGGAGTTAATACACTATTGAAATCAATTTTTGCTCTCATAAATGCAGAAAATAATTTATTATGAATCGCTGAACAAATTGATTAATGAAATATCAAGGTCCTTTCATTTGGGAAATCCGATCTAGCTGGGGAAGAGGTGAGGACTGTCAGAGTAGGAGAGACAAATTAATACACGGCACGTCGCTCGAGTTACGAGGTTCGTCATTGGATTTCTCCCTGCGTGCAGGACGTGCACTCATACATCTTTCGTTGACGATTCCGGGGTAAATACGTGGACGGAACCGGAGATATAATAGATGCGACTGCTTTGACGTTCCTACATGAACGGCATGACCGGTGAATCAGTGAGTGGAGGCGCGAGGAAACGCTTTCTCGCCGGTTGACTTTCACCGTCGATGAAGCAGTTCCGAGACCGTAACTTCTATCAAAAAATCCTATTTCCTCAAAAGAAGAGGATTTTGTCATTGTTCTTCGTCCAGCTACTGAACAGCCCCGAGACATACCGCGCGTAACGACGCTCGAAAGCAAAAATGCGATCCTATCATAAAAATTTCGATCCGCGATTGCGGGATTCGCTTCACGGTTAATTTTCTTCGTCAAAACGCCTCGAGACGTGAAAAGTTACAACGAATTTATTGCGCGACTTGTTCTCGGTATTGATTGGGATATTAAAAAGTCGGGATTTCATTGAACCGCATTTCTGAGTCATTTTCATTCGAGCCAGGTCCTTCCAATAAACCCAGATTCGACATCCTTTTGTCGTTTCAGGTCTATATGTAGTATGGAATTCATTCACGGAGACGCTTTCCTACACCGAGGAGGTCGTCAACTACCATGCTCGCCGTAAGTGATCCATCGAATAAATTATATCTATATCAAAGTCGCTCAGGCATATCGTGCAATATTTCGAAGCATATTTTTTTCATATTTTTTTTCCCCTACGTTTCCATATATCAGGTGCCTACCTTCTAATAGTAATATAAACACCCTAGAGGACGAGAGTAATCACCGAAAACAAGCGTGCCGAGGACTCGTCCTGCCTTTGCGATAAATTGTTACTATATATTTGGAAATGGAAATGAAAAAAATCTTCCAGCGGTCATCTACGGCCCGCAGCGAGTCCAGTTTTTGGGGCCCTCGAGGAGATGGCCGGAGCCATGGGACGGTGGTCCCAGAAGAGGACCTCTGAGTCGCAGAGACACGCAGGATCGTCCTTACCAAGTTCTGAGGGTGAGCGAAAACACGGACCGCACCGATACCCTGGCTACCATCAGCGAAACTCTCGGCGCTCTGAACACCGTGGGCAGTTACATAGTCAACATGACCCGCGGGGTCGAAAATTCGGCAAATCCGCCGAAAGAGTTGCCAACGGCTCTTTACACGATCTCGAAAAACATCCTGGGAAGGAACGTCACCGACAGCATAGCGCCCCTCGTGCGCGGCGTGGCTCTTCCTCTTCGCCCGGCCTCGCCGACGTCCACGTCCTCTTCTCCTGCCTCGACCCACATCGGCGAGGTACTCTCCGACAGGGACAAGGAATCCCAGGGGAGTCCCTCCGTGTGCACGACAGCCGACGACGGTCCTGGAAAGTGTCAGGACCTCAGCAATTGTCCCCAACTGCTGCTTGACCTTACCAAACTCAGGCAGTCCATCTGCTTCAAGAGCCTCTTCGTGCCGGGAGTCTGCTGCCCCGTAGACGGCTCTGCAAGTACTCTCGGTGGAAGGTATGATACACATATGTCGGAAATCGTGGATCCTGTCTGGTTTGGTCCAGATCTGGAGGAAAGTATGAGCATGAAACGGGATAAGCACGGTTGGGCTGCCCCCGCCCGGATTGGTCCATATTAGAGGTCTACATCCAATCGTAATCATTATAGGCTAATTTTTCCCGAGGGTCAACTTCAAACAAAGTTCATTACTAAAGCCTTGAACAAATTATGGAAAAGGGCCTTTAAGAGGATTCTATAATTTCAATAAATTCAACAGCGTTAATTGGAAGACTTAGCAGGATAAGAAATCAAGAAGGGTGTAGGAAACATTCGGCACGTTAATTGTGCTTATTATTTCTTAACACCGCCTCGTGGACTTTTTTAATATATCGCAAGAAATGTTCAGTAATGGTATAGGCAATGTCAGATTGTAGGATTAATAATTGAATACCCACTTTGGATGGTTTCAGCTCAATCATTCAACCCATTACACGCCCACCGCGTCCAACTCACAGGCCAACGAGGCCTCCAACTCCAAAACCGATACCATTGCTTCCGGTGCCAGGTACTACCGCTCTTCCCATCACTTCCGTAGTACCTGTTCCGGATATATTGTCCAATGACTCCAGCAGCTTCGAAGCAGTTGAAAACAACTTCATCCAGGACGACGAGGGTATGTTTTCTAAAAAAAAAAAGAAAAGAAAATACACGTTTGCCACACATTGCAGACAATTACTTGAAAAGCATTCTCAACGCGATTAAAATCCTCGCACAGATCTCCTAAAATAAATCTGGAGTATTTTTCAAGAAGTATTAGAATTATGCACGGACCATGCTGTACCGAGTGAAAAAAATCACTTTCTTTAAAAAGAGAAATTTCGCTAACGAAAAGATTTTTACTTGCTTTTGTCGACAAAATATGTTGCAGGGCTGATCGAATGAAATTGATCCAGATTTGAAATGATATTCAACTTTCTTGGGCTTAGCCTTACCAAGATTTTATTATTCATAATCGTTAGATTTTTTTTTACCTCGGAATAAAAATTGATCGAATCACTTGAAACAGCGAAAGACTGGAAGGAGTACTAATATTCTTGAGGCAATGAGTAGGATTTGACAAAATTACGGTAAATCTGACATTTTCTCTGAAAACTAAATATAACTCCCAGCGATATTTTCAAAGCCGACCGTATACACGATATTTTCATCGTAAAATCATCTTCACTTGATACAAAATAGTCACCATAGCAATGTCAATAATTCCCCGAAAATCAATTTCACTATCAAGAAATATCAGAGCCAGTTATTAACCCTTTGAGCGCTACGATATCGCCTGTGCAGGGTGGGAGGGCATTGATGTCTCCTAGTGTGCATACGAACCCACTGCACCAGGGGTCCGATTCTTGAGTTCGTACAGATTTTGTTCGCATACAAATAGATTCGCGCAATAAATGTTGCATCGTTGAGAAGTAGTGTCATCGGTCAACGTTTGAAAATTGCATAGGAAATAATTAATCTGAGACAGTTATTAACATCGTGCTACCGGATATGACAAATACCCTGCCAAACTTTCCATGGGAGCTTGCAGGGTTCACGGAAGCGTTGACCCGAGTCCCTTGCCTCGTACCTCGGATTATCCGTGACAAATCTCCAAATCTGTAATATATTCATAAATCCCAATCCCACTTCTTCCGCCAAGCGTTGCATCGTTATCGCGTGTTCCAATTTTCGCGCCGCTCATCCGAAAACTGCTTTCTTCAGAATGCGGAGTGCGGAACGCGGGCAAGTATCGCGTGGTAGGCGGAGAGGAAGCATTGCCAGGTCGATGGCCATGGATGGCGGCGATATATCTCCATGGGTCACGGCGAACGGAGTTTTGGTGCGGCGGCTCGCTGGTGGGTCCACGACACATCCTCACGGCGGCCCATTGCACCCGGGACCAGCGTCAACGACCGTACGCCCTTCGTTTCCCTTTCAAGCGACTAATTGCTTTCTAAGGCGTCGTCTCCTCCTCCAGGTCCGAGTGACAACGCAATCGCCTGCTTTCAGGTTCGCCGCTCACCAGTTCACGGTGCGGCTGGGAGACATCGACCTCGAGAGAGACGACGAGCCGTCCTCGCCGGAGACCTACGGCGTAAAAGAGATCAGGGCTCACCCGAAGTTCTCTAGAGTCGGGTTCTACAATGACATCGCTATCTTGGAGCTCAACAGGCCGGTCAGGAGGTCGCCCTACGTGATTCCCATTTGCCTGCCGCAGGTGCGGTTCAAGGGACAGGCTTTTGCAGGGGCCAGACCTACGGTCGTTGGCTGGGGCACCACCTATTATGGTAAATATTTCAGTTAAGGTGATATGAAAGGGTCATTATATATAGTATTTCTTTTATTATTTAACCTAGACTAGAACGAAAGTCACATTTCTTTGGGGAAAACTAAATCTTACTAGCATCGCGTTCTTCCTTAGGGCCTCCATAATCACACGTTAAAGTTTCAAATTATTCGGTGCACCCAGTTTGGAGAAAAGTTGTATAAATATTTTGACGCTATATATATATATATTTATTGTATATTTTATAGATTATACATGTAGATATATAGAATATATATATATAACGTCAAAATGTTTATAACATTTTTCTCCATACTGGGTGCACCGAATAATTTGAAACTTTAACGCGAGATTATGGAGGCCCTAAGGAGGAATGCTCGTGAGATTTCATTTTCCACAAAGAAATGTGATTTTTGTTCTAATCTAGGCTAAATAAGAAAAAATTTAGTTGAAGGTGTTACCCTGCTATTTTTCTTTTTTTTTTTACCGAGCTTTTGTGAATGAGTCGTTACCTTGTGGGGGATTTCCGGAATTCTTGCGATTGATCCGATGACGTTTCCACAGGTGGAAAGGAGAGCACGGTCCAACGACAAGCTGTTCTTCCTGTTTGGAGGAACGAGGATTGCAACGAAGCCTACTTTCAACCTATCACGGGTAATTTTTTGTGCGCTGGTTACAGTCAGGGCGGAAAAGACGCCTGTCAGGGAGATTCTGGGGGTCCTTTGATGCTCAGAGCTGACGGTCGCTGGATGCAAATCGGTATTGTCTCCTTCGGCAACAAATGTGGAGAACCTGGATATCCTGGAGTTTATACGCGGGTTACGGAATACGTCGACTGGATTAAAAAGAATTTGCATTAATTATCGTCCTTGCGACGGATCTCGGTAATTCTGATAAATATCGATTTTGCGACGAGACTTCTTGATTTATTGGAAGAATCATTTTTTATCGGCCGTCTAGATTTTATCGTTGGCTCTGATGCATCAATCGTGGCTTGCAAACATCGAAAATTCATGTTGTAGAGACCGTTTAATTGCATACACTGTTGGGATCAATGTTCGTCACGCGAGTTGATTTCGGTTATCTCGCTCTTGGTGAGGTGTACGTTAGTTAATTATTAATATTCATCAGAACTGCGATAAACACTTGAAGTCAAGCTTAGGAACCCCTTTTGTATAATTGTACGCGAAGAACGTGATTCAAGGATATTCCCCGTAAATTAGGTAACGTATAATTGTACATATATAAATAATAATACTTAGTTGTCGAAGTGTACGCGTATGACGATTTCGATATACCGTACGCATATGCATTTAGCAGAACGACGATGTATAGGTAATAATCGAATGAATAAATTATTGACTTGCAATTAGAATTAACGCATGGATGTATAAGTACATGACCTAGTGAGACGATGACACGAATATGATATAAATGTAGCCATTTTTTTTGGAATCGTTTACCTTTATTTTCAGAGAAAAAAACAACTCATCTTTTTGATCAAATAAATGTCGGTGGATAAATGCAAATGCATTAGTGCCATTCTATGTACAGAAATTGTGGCGTCGATGTGACTTTAGTCTCTAGAAGCGAAAACAGGTGAGGCAGAATTGCAAGTGGCTTTTGTTTACCTTCCAATATTTGGTTACAATATCACATTTGTAAGATGACAAAATTTGACAGTATGAAATGTAATCTCGGTTGCCAATAATTCCTTTGAACTGTTTGCGATAAGTGAAAATTAATTGTGAACTATCGGCCGAATAATGAGAACCAGACTCACCGGCAGGAGCGTATCAGAGGACAGTTTGGGAAACATTTTGAAACATATAATCGAGGAGGCCCTCGAAGACACCGGTTAGTTTTGAGTAAAAGAATGTATAAGGTTCATTTTACAGAGTAGAAAGGTCCTTTTCGCAGAACAAGTCGCTAAGCTACATGGAGTTCTCTTCGAGGACTGGTACATCAAGAAGACCGCAGAATTGGAGGAGGCAAAAGCCACCAAAAAGAGAGAAAGTCACAGTCAGGACGAAGGTAGGATAGTTCGTATAAAATCCTTATAGGTAAAAAAGATTAATTAGAACGTTGTTTTCACAGAAGAGAAAGATGCTCATCCAGAACCCGGCATGGTTTCCACAGAACAAACGTTTCCTCCATTAAAAATACAGAAAAGTAAATCGGCCTCTCGAACTTCACACAATTATCAGGATAGGATGCCCTCTCAAAGATCTCTCGCTCTTCAGATTTCTGAATTAGGAAAAAGTGCTAATTTTAGATATCATGAGACTTTTTCTGGATCTTACAATATAGACCATAGTACGAGTAAGATTGATATTGGAAATAAATCAAAATCTTCCATGGTGCAGCAAGTACTTTCTGAGATATTTCTAAAAAATGGCCATGCCCACGAGGTAAGTCAGTTAAATGACTGCGATTGATTATGATGATCGCAATTTAATCTGGAGCTATAAGTTATGGCTTGACATTTCACATATCTGTCTCCTTTTGACGGACTTACAAATAAACCTATGTACCGTTATGCGTTTATGGATTTCCAGGTGATTTTTCCTGTGCAAAGCACCAATGGTTCTTTTAAAGATAATTCTGATAACAAAAATTTTACCAAATCTTTAGTTACTGTAGAAAGGTATGCCGCTGAGTGCTGTTATCAAAATATTCCACAAAACGATAATTCGGTTTACAAGGTGAACAACGATCTTTGTCTTATTGTCTATTTGCCTCGTATATTTTGGTATTATTTTCTTCTTTGGAAATAATCGATTTTATAACGATACTGGAATTTTGCATGTGCTGAAGAATTCAATAGTCACGGCTAGTTCCAAGGAGAACAAACAAATCAACGATCTAATTAACAATAACATTGATGAAAATGAAACCCAACACCCAGAGATGGAAATCACTGAAATTTGGAATAGTGTAAAGCAAAATGTAAAGTATGAGATAAAAAGACTGGACGAAATAAAATACCAAAATAAGCTTATTTCAAATGATGTAAGCTCAAAAGGAAATAAAATACGGAATGGTTTGCCGTTCGAAGCATGGAAGAGAGAAAAGACAAGAATGTATAAAAATTTGTTTAGAGAAAAACAGCGAGAAAGGCAACTTCAACAAGCAGCGAGAGCTAAGGAGATGGAGAAAAAACAAGCTGCAAAGGAGGTTTATTATTTATTGTAATCAATTAAACTACGTACTCGGAGTAACTGAGAGCAAGCAGAATCAGAGAAGTGGTACTTTTCAGGCTTATCTTTCCTGGAGGAAGCAGCGTGAGGTACAACATAAACTGACGCTTAAAAGGAAAAAAGCTCTAGACGAAGTGAATGATGTAAAAAGAAAACGAAACTGTGAAGAAACTACCTCTAAGGCACAAGCGTTTAAAATGTGGAAGAAAAAAAAGGATGCTAAACTGAGAGAAAATGACGCAGCCAAGTAAGAGCACCTTAGTTTTGAAGGCAATTTCTTTTATTTTACATTTCTTCAACCTAATACAGAACAAAGTAGCACATGAATGTTTTCACAATATATCTTCATAGAATTTACAGCTATTGTATGGATTTTCAATGACGGCGAGAGAATCAAATTTCACGTTCTCAGCCAAGTCATCCAGTTTTTACTGGTTTTAATTACTAATTGTAAAGTGCTTCATTTTTTTATTTCTTACTTTAGCAATCACCCTGTTCAATACAATCAACCATCACTCCAATCGGAGGTACCCAAAATGGAAATGGGTTTAGAATTCCATTCCTGGTTGGATCAGTTGGATTATGTTTTGCATGAAAAATATTTGCGCGAACGGCGCTTTCGAGTCCGATCGTTTTACTGTCAGCCCACGTACTATGGTACAATTTCTCAGTATATCGGATAAATATAAATATTAACTCTGAAATAAACTTATTAACTGGCACGCATAGATGTATAATTGTCATACTACTTGAAATTGTCCGATTTCTTTATTTAAAAATAAAGTACATTGAATATCTAATAAATTCGTCCGTTATCAATGTACATATCGTGAAACACAAGGTAAAAATGCCAAATAAACGGTGTTGGTAAAATATTCTCTCAAAAGGTTTGTTTACTTTGCATAAATCTGCAAAGAAAACGGAAAACCGTAGGCATGACGACGCTAGAAGTAGCATATAGGAATGACTAGGTTCATGTAGAACGATGGACTTCTTGAGACTAAATAAAGGTTTAACATGTCAGAATAAATTGCATGTATACGATGACGTTAAAACGCCAATCAAACTAAACAGGAACTCTATGATTATCTTTGGTAAAACAACTTTTCAAAGGTATTTGTACCTAAGTACCAAACAGCTTAATTCAGTTTAAATAGAGTTCAATTCTTCTAATATTTGAGTTTGAGAAACTTCCGACCTTTCTTTGGTTGCTTCGTCAGTATTTTCAGACTGACTTTCATTTACCTGAATACTGTTATTCAGCGTGGGTGGTGTCGAACCGTTCATACCTATATGTTCCTCATCACCTATAACCAAGCAAAAAGAAAGTCACTTTTTAAACAAGATCAGTTGAATGACCTTAAAAAGCATCGTTTTAAAAACTATGAAACTACCTACAATTTCATATGGTAGCATTGGATATGATATAGCTATCAAGATAAATAGATTATTTATGTTCTTACATTTTTCATCATCTGCTCCACCATATCCTTCCAGAAGTTTTGTCGTTGGAGATTGAATGGCACTATCTAATTCGCAAATTCTAGATGCTAGAATTCTAGAAAATAAATATAAACTCTGTTCGTGAAATAATATTGAAAAAGTTCAATTGAACGAATAAATGTAATCCCCTTAACGGTAATTTTAATTCTAGGAGTATTAAATATGATAACTAACTACTCAGCTGATATTACTTAAATCTCGTGCGCAACGACAATATCAGCATATTCAAAATAAATTGAGAAATACTAACTTATTAGCTTTTTTTTGATGAGCCAAGGCTAAGGTTTTATCATTTAGCGCTTCTAAAAGGGCTGTACACAGGCAGCGTAGGTCAGACAATGCAGCTGCTGATTTTTGAGGGGGTATATGAGATCCCTGTTGTAACAACTGCTCCACTGTAGAAATAAGGGTATGTTATTCGACAAGAATATTTTATAATAATATTTATTTCTCTAAATGTATTGAATCTTGACAAAATACCTTGTTTATGTGTCATGACTGTTCCTGCTGCAGAATTTCCACCTAATTTTATGCTTCCTTTTATTCGTTTACTATCTAGCATGCTCTAAAAAGTGAAATTTATTATCGTAATCCAACTAATTGGAAAGAATGAACAACAAAATTAACAAGATATTACCTTATATTTTGATAGGGACTGCCTTGCAAGCTCTTTTTCTTCTAGCAATTGCTGCAATCTCTCCTGTAAATATCTATAAACCATAAAGCATCAAGATATTGTATGATGAAATATGTTAATTAAATTTTACATATTTGTTGCTAACCTGTTTTCGTTAATTAAGGCATCAAGGTCTACAGGTTTTGGTGCATTGAGGGCCTTTGACAATTCATAGTTTAAACGATGTGCTTTACATTTAAATGCATCTCTCTCTATTTCCAACTCGTGCTTTTCATCTAATACAGTTTGCAGTTCAGATTGTAACTGAGCACACTAAAGAAATAAAAGATAATCAATCCAATTCTTTGATATATACTACTCATATTATATAAATAGTCATGTAGCAGTACTTTGATATTCAGATTCTCTAACTGTTCTAGCATTTTTTCCCGTTGATGCATTTCAGGAACTGGTTGATTCTCTTGCCGTTCTTCGGATACTCGATTACTACTTCTAAGCACTTTAATGTCCCCTTGAGCATCCCCAAGCTTTTGACGCAAAGTTTCTACTTGCAATCGAAGGCATTTATTTTGCTCGCGACTTTCCATCAGCAGATCCAGGGTCCTAAAGTCATCTTCCAAATTATAAGGTCTGTAAAAATTATTATCTTTATAACATAATTGAACTACTAATGTTGATGCATTTAGAGGTATCTGGAAAACCATACCTATTTAATTCTCTCCTTTCGCACGTTTGTTTCTTCAAGTGTAAAAACCTTTCTTGAATCTGTTCAGCCATCAACTTAAATTGATCACGTTGTGCTCTACATTGGTCTAATTCTTGACTTAACAATACAAGTGCTTCGGTTTTAAGTTGTAGCTTCCTTATTATTGTATCATTCTATGTATCGTACATGAAAACATTGAAAGTACATCATACAAAATTTAACCATAGATTCTCTATTAACAATTAAAAATATATTTTAATTTAACTTACTTCTGAGCAATAACTAATACCATTTTCGATATTACCCGCAACGTTCGTAGATTTATGTCTTCCGTCAATTTTAACTGCCATTCTTTATGCATGCATACGTACGTATATAAATAATATCAAAAGGAAACTCCCAAAGCACAAAATTCAAAATTATCGCATGAAATGTATATATTTTTCCCTGTCAGGGAAACGTCAAATATATCAGGTAATGAAATTCACCCGTTCATACACCCCAATATATCCTTCCGGAGTAAAAACATAAAGTAAAAATATATGATAGAAGAGAATTCTTGTAGAATGTGTGAAGCTAAATGTAATAAATGGTTGTAAATCAGTTAAACTCCGGTTAACTCGAGTTTAATTGGTTTACAGCATGTTTTTAACTGGACGTAAACAAGTTAACCTTCCGTTAACTCGAGCTGTGGAACCGGGTATAACTGGAGATCAATTTTATATCTCGAGTGAAAATGTGAAATCCCCAGATTGAATGTATGGTAGAAAATCATTTGAACGTGACAATATATATGATGAATTTACATATATATATACATACTACTATGGAGAGTTCCTTCTCATTCTCCTATTCATTACGTTAAAAAGGGCATAAACATTTTTAGGTAATTTTTTTTTGTACCTATGTAGAAATGGAAGTCAATTTGGGGGAAATTTAATTCCCACGTTTGGCGACATTGATTCAGGAACGTGAACGTTTTGCCGGGATTTTGACTGCGTTCGAGTGTGAAGAGATCGTGTCCAAACCGGTTGGGTCCGTGCTAGCCTCGTGAATACTGACAAAGGAATTATTGACAATTAATACTGTCCGTATAATTTTATTACAACAATGTCGAAAGTCAACACCCTCTACAATTATTTCACTTCACCCAAAACTGCCAAGCCGAATAACGGTGCAACAACTCCAGCAAAATCGAAATCAGCAACTCCAAAGAGGGAACAAAAGAATAAAGGTTCGCATTTAGTACTTCCTTATTTAAGAAATTGAGATTGTTTTAAGACCTGTGATAAATATATTAGCCCAGCACTCTAACCTTCAACGATGATAACAATCCCTGCCATAATTTTTGTCATTGATGTCTAACGTTATGAGAAAATGGTTTATGATTCCTTTTGTACGTTTTTATTAATTGTAATTGAGTGTATCTTTGTTTTGAATATAAGAATAATTTAATTGTTCTTAGGTGTTGTTAGTATTTTATATATTACTTATTTTGACATGTCTATTATGCAGGAAGAAAAATAATTGAAGGAAAGGAAAATGTAATCTCTACTGAACGTAAAAGATCAATTGAAGATGATGAAGACGAAGGTCCGTCGCCAGTAAAGCCTAAAAAGAGGAGGATAATAATTCCCGAGGATAGTGAAGATTCAGAAGATGAATTTAAACCTGGTTTGTAATTTTCAAGTTTTTTTTATGTACAAAAATGACATTTTCTATTCATCTTGATAAGTGATAATGTTATTGTTATTCATTTTCTTTGTATTACGAAATCTATGGAAATATTTATAGCTACAAATTATTATATGTTATTGAAATTTAAATTTCTTCAGGCTCTGAAGAAGAGTTAGAATCAGAATCTGCTTCAGAAGGTGTTAGCGAAGATGAACCAGAAACTGCAAGTGACGAAGAGAGTCCTAAGGTAAAATATAATAATAATAAATCTGTTAAGATTGACATGATAATTATATTTGTAATCCATCAAAACTATAGAAGAAGGTGAAAATATCAAAGACTCCTGCCAGTTCAGCTAAAAGAGACAATAAGATTCAAAAGCCTGTGAGTAAATGCACAATACTTTGTTCCTTAATTGAATTATTTCTGCTTAGAACTAAGTACACGTGAATTATTGTAATTTAATAATGCAGAAGGGTAAGAAAGAATCGAAGCCTACATTGGCACCACAAGAACCAGGAATAACTGCTGCTCCTATTATTTCGGAATCTTGGCCACACCTGAAGTATGATTTTCTTCAACCAAATAAAATCAAAGATATAAATCAAAGACCTGCTAGTGATCCAGACTATAATCCAAGAACTGTCTACGTTCCAGTAAATTTTCTTAATAATCAAACACCTGTAAGAATATAAACTACAACTTTTATATTGTTTATTCTTCCTCGAGCATTGAGTATTTTGTCTTTGTAGGCTATGCGACAGTGGTGGGAGTTAAAAAGCAAACATTTTGATTGTGTACTGTTTTTCAAAGTTGGAAAATTCTATGAACTTTATCATATGGATGCTGTCACTGGAGTAAATGAGCTCAGTCTTTCATATATGCGGGTAAGTAATTTAAGTAGTACAAAATGAAAAAGAGGAAAATATCCAATTTTAGTAGAACAGTTTGAATAAATAACGTGTTCTTTTACCAGGGAGAATTTGCACATTCAGGATTTCCGGAAATCGCTTATGGCCGTTTTTCTGCAAGCTTAATTGAAAAGGGATACAAAGTAGCACGAATTGAACAGACCGAAAATCCAGATATGATGGCTCGGCGTTGTGGCAAAAGTAACTTCTTTTTGTTTGACAAAATTGAGTAATATGTTATAATGGATAGTAATGTGGAAGTTTAAACTTTTTGTCTTGCTGTTTTTGCAGTTGTTAAAGTAACAAAGTTCGATAAAGTAGTAAAACGGGAAATATGTCAGATAAGCACAAGAGGCACAAGAGTTTACACTCCTCAAGATGCAGAAGCATCGACACCAAATTCGAATTACTTGCTAGCTTTAGTGGAAAAATGTTATTCTGGAGTACCATCATTTGGAGTATGCTTCCTCGACACTACTATTGGTGAATTTTATTTGGGCCAATTTGAAGACGATCGATGCAATTCACGACTTTTGACATTATTGGCACATCATCCCCCAGCGCATGTAAGTTAGTTAAGATTTTCGTATTGATCAAAATGTGGAACCACATCTTATTTATAAAAATGCGTATTATGTTGCAGATTGTATACGAGCGCGGCAATTTGTCTCAGCATACAATGAAAATTTTAAATACTTTATCGTCAGTGACTATTAAAGAACCATTACAACGAGAGTCACAGTTCTGGTCTGGATTAACAACGCTAAAAGTAAGTAAGTTGTAATCGTCAATGAAAACGTTCTTTGCAATAACTATTGGATCTTGTCTTACAGAAACTGCACGAAGGAGATTATTTCAAGAAAGAAGGGGACTCTAATTTCTCGTGGCCAGAGGGCATACGAGGCTACCTCAGTGAAGGTGAATAAACTTTCATTTTATTCAGATGTAGTAAGGTGTAAGAGCATAGTAAGCTTTTCTTAATGCCTTTTTATTAAATATAATGGTTTGTCTTACAAACAGAAGAAAAGAAAAATTGTTCTACTAAATATATTTTGTGGAATAGGCGACAGCTTAGGATTGACACCAGCTGAAGACAAAGAGTTAGCTATACACGCATTAGGCGGATGCGTATACTTACTTAAAGAATATTTACTGGATCAACAACTATTGGCTCAAGGACGTTTTAAAACTTACGTACCTCCTGATTACAATAACAACCAATCTAATCATTCAATGATTTTAGCAAACAATATGGTAAGCATATATTTTGTCAATTGGAGACATTCATATTTATTAAATCGTTATTTCGTATCAGGTTTTGGATGCTATTACAATAAATAATCTGCGTGTTCTGACTGGGGAAGGATCTCTTATTTCAACAATAGATCGTTGTTGTACAGCATTTGGGAAAAGGTATTTAATCATATCGAAATAATGCTTATTCAAACGTCCGATATCGGTATTTTTACAAAATCGAAATTGTGCTCGTTGATACACATCAAATCTATTAAATCTTGGTAAGGGGTAGATATCCTGATTGTTGGTATTACATGAAAAATTAAAATGACAAACATACCTAAAAATAAGCTTAATTTAACGTGTTTTTTTCCTAGGCTACTGCGAGACTGGGTTTGCAAACCATCTTGTCGTAAAGCTATTATAACGGAGCGACAAGAAGCGGTGTCAGAATTGCTGGACAGATCAGATGTGGTACAAGACGCGCGTGCCATTTTAGGAAGTTTACCTGATCTAGAGAGATTGCTAAGCAAGTGAGTTTGCATAAACATTTAAGCAGATCGATTTATTCATTTTTATCTTATGGTAAAATTATAAATGAGCTTGTGTCAATAGAATACACGCTCAGGGCAATGCAGTAAAGATGACGAATCATCCCGATGGAAGAGCAATCATGTTTGAAGGGCAAACTTACTCTAAAAGAAAGATTTTGGACTTCACTACCACTCTCGATGGATTTGAAGAGATTCTCAAGCTCATTGCTTTGTTCAGTGGTACATATTCTTAAACACTTCTTTACATTAACGTTTAGTGAATTTTGAGTATGAGATTTATTTTTTGTACAGATTTCAACACTGCATTACTACATCGGTACACAAGATTGGAGCCGGAAGGAGACTTCCCGAATTTGAGGAAGACTCTGGACTACTTTAAGACCGCGTTTGATCACGAGGAAGCTAAAAAGGAAGGCTGCATCGTTCCTAAAGAAGGCGTGGACAGTGAATACGATTCCGTTCTTCAGGAACTCGCTGAAATAAAGTCCGACTTGAATGACTATCTGGCGAAGCAGAGAAGACATTTTGGAGTGAAGGTGACCTTACACGGGACGGACAGGAAACGCTATCAAATCGAAGTTCCTGAAACGCAAATGAAGAAAGTAGGTCCCGGTTATGAGCTTCAATCGCAGCGTAAAGGGTACAAACGGTATTACACGGCAGAAGCTAAGGTGACTATAACACAAATCCTTTTAAATGATATATATTTTTTTTTTAGACTTTCTCCCTACTTAAGGTCTATGGAACTAATTACGAATACTAAACGTGTTGCAGGAACTTCTTTCCAGACAAATAAACGCCGAGGAACATCGAGATAAAGTCCTAAAAGATCTTAACAGAAGAATATTCGCCAAATTCAGTGAAATGTACGATATGTGGAGTTCTGCAGTCCACAAAGTCGCATCCCTGGATGTTCTAATCGCGTTTGCCGAGTACACCCGGAGTGGAGACATGTGTGTTCCAGAAATCCACGAGGTTACTGAAAATGGCGAGGTAAGCTTGTTATTCTCCACGCAGTGAAAAAACCGTCAGTGTTAACAATTGCGATACGACTTGAAACTAAAAAAGCGTATACTTTTCAATATAACCCAGGTTTTCATCGACATAAAAGAGGGTAAACATCCGTGTATCATGTCTGATAACTTTATACCCAACGACACTGTACTGGGGATCACGGAATGTGCTCCTCTAATGATCTTGACTGGACCGAATATGGGTGGTAAATCGACCCTAATGCGGCAAGTCGGATTGCTCACCATTATGGCGCAAATCGTAAGTCTGCTTCTTCCTTGCGATTTTCTTGTTAAATTAACCCTGAGACACCTTCCTAAGGAAACGTGTCCAACAAAGTATCTAGGAAATGATTACAAATTTATGTTAAAGGGTTGCCACGTCCCAGCGAGTTCCTGTAGACTGACTCTCGTAGATCGCATATTCACTCGTCTGGGGGCCAACGACGACATTCTGGCTGGCCAGAGTACTTTCTTTGTGGAGCTAAGTGAAACTGCAACGATACTTCATCATGCGACTCCAAATTCCCTGGTTCTCTTAGACGAATTAGGTTGGTTGAATATCATTTTATTTGTAAACTTTCAAGCGGGTTGAAGCGCAGGTGTTGACATTCAACGAGGCTCCCTGGTAGTTAGCCGTTACTGTGAAACCTGTTGTCCTCTCTTCTCTAGTTGAACCTTAATTACTCATATTTTATTATCTAGGACGTGGAACATCGACTTACGACGGCACTGCGATAGCAGCAGCAGTTGTTGGCGCTCTTACGAAGTTACGATGCCGCACATTATTTTCAACGCACTATCATTCACTGGTAGAGGACTACAAGACGAACGAGAATGTCACGTTAGCACATATGGTGAGAATCGATGGTTTCGATCATGAACAGTGGTATTTTATTCGTTTAAATTTGATTCCTCGGCAGTATCTCCTCAATTATGCTAAAGCCATCGTAAATGGCGCTGCAATCGCGCATGTATTCTTTCTTTATTCCTAGTCTGGTTTAGTTTAATTACACTTGTTTTTCTCCTTTATAAAGGCTTGCATGGTGGAAAAAGAGGAGGAAGAGGAGGTGTCTCAAGAAACGGTGACTTTCCTCTACAAATTGAGCGGAGGTGCTTGTCCGAAGTCGTATGGGTTCAACGCTGCTAGGCTGGCAGGAATACCACCGAAGATTACAAAGAGAGCCCATGAGATATCCAGCAATCTCGAACGCGAAACAAATCAGAAGCACATTTTCACCGAACTTTGCAAACTCGACGAGTCGTCCATCAAGAGCCTCATCGCTGCCTTCTAAGTATCATATATTTATATCAGTCCATGTCGTTTGAGAAGAAAAATGATTCGAGAGTATTTGTAGCACTGCTGGCAAAAGTGATATTTATATACATATATTCAATGCCGTACCTTAATATTAACGTTGTGTCAGTATAGGATCTACCAAGTATTCATTGCTTGCATGGAAGTATTTTGATAGTTACCGCGTTACAAGTATGAACCTACGTTGGTTCGTCTTTGTTCCTCCTTTATGTTATTCCTGTGTTAATTGTGTATTAAAACACGTACGGGTCTATTCAGTACAATGCATTTTTGATACTCTGATGCGCTGTTTTACAAGGTACAATCCTTCAACACGATTTGATCTTCTTCGATCACCTGTGTAGCCGGGGAAGTAGAGTATCTAACATGCCGATGAAGGTACATTTAAAGAAGTTCGTTCTGCTTACAAAATGGTTTATTGAGTAATGCCAGAGTACAAAAAGGACATTTACGGTGAAATCTCGTGAACGTTTCATACGAGCTACATAATTTTACTCACACCAAAACGATGAAAAGAAACTTACGCAAAAGGGGCAAAAGGGGGGAGTGTGTGTGGATAAACGAAAGTGTGATACACATAAAATCTCGTAGTAAAATAAATACCATTCAATAGTTAATACAAAGGGTGGATTGGTGATATAAAAAAGCGGAGCGAAGGACGTAAGAGTAGAGTTATTTGCCGAGCGGGACATTCGCCGATCGCTTTCAGTCGGCGATTTCTTGCGGTTAGGGTCTGTGATTATATCGACGGAATCGACGGTGATTATATCGATGATATATCGACGGAAAAGGCAACGATCGATAATAGTTGAGTGCTTAACAGTTATTTCGTGTGATTATCGTTAAATGTGACGCGCGTGCGCGCGCAACTCCCTCGATCGAAAGGGCGTCCGTTTTCGCGCCGTTTCGAGCCATGCTATCCCATTCTTTCTTTCATTTTTTTTTTTTGGTTTCCCCTCCTTCCTAAGAGCCAAATCTAAGCTAAGAGACGTGAAAAAGGCACGGAATCAAGAAAGCACTGCTCCTTTCTTTCTCTTTCACTCGTAATCGTGAGCGTTTGTTTTTTATTTACCTCGTGAAACAATCTATCCTAAATATACAATTCCGACTCGGCCGAAAAGAAAACGAACAAAAAGGATTCACACTCGTCATACAATCTCTCTCGTTCTCTCTAAGTCTCTATCTCCTAAAGGTTCTCTCAATCGCTCGCGGGAACACACACCTCGCAATCGTGGCCATTTAAAAAACGGAAAAAAAAAAAATAAAACAAACAAACAAACGGAGCGACCGCGCGAGACATTTAAATGCGTCCTAAGTGTACGTCGGTTAAATATACCGATCGATCGGGATTCGCCCGGTTCGCATTGATCTCGTTCACGATTGAACCTCGATCGACGTCACCGCGGGCAATGACGGGCCCGTACAATTATCATTTAATATTAACTCGTACTTTTCCTAGTTCTTTCCTCTTTCGTTATTTCCCTTTTAACGTGACGGTCCACTAATTTGCGAACCGAAAGCATAGACGAAGACCGGTAAAGGGGCGAATACTTCCTGGCCGCGAGACGGCGACCGGAGTCCTCGCGTCTCCGAGGGAGGGGATTTCATTTTGTTGTTTTCTTTTTATTCTCTCTCTCTCTCTTTCTCTCCTTTTCTATTCCAAGGTCAGGGTCGATCGGCCAGGGCAGGTCGGGGATGTGCCGGGGACGCGGACAGGTGTCGGGAGCCGCGCGATTCCTTCTCTTTTGGCCTTCCTCCCTTTACCACAGCCCTGAAGAGAAGCCACCGGGGGGCACGCGGGTACGGCCCTGGGTCCTGGGCCCTGATCCCGGGGACGACTCGTTCGACTTCTCCGTGCCGTTAGTCGTTGCGTTTCCGTTTCCATTCTGCACGAGCGTCCCGATGGTGTTCTGCTGATCGGCTCCGTAACCAGTCCCGGTTACCGGGTTACCGTCTGAGAAAGCAAATCCAAATTCTATTAGTTGCTCCTTAGGGTCCGTATCATAATTCACCTCCTACGGAAGAATAGTTTACAGGGGTCTGCAAGCCTCGCGGTAAACGCTTTCAAACTCTTTCGACATTTCCTTTAATTCCGTGTCGTGTCAACTTGCGTTCAAATGGCAAGTGCAATTTTTATACCTGAAGAAATAAAAAAAAAAGAAATCTGAATGTTTGCTTTAAATTGCAGATCCCTGTAAGTCTTCCAGTTTTTCAACAGATTGATGGCATTACTCTTTACACAGAGTGCACCCGGGGCTTTGTCGCGCTTAAACTCGGTGTATCGTTTGTTACATATAATGGATTATTATTCGTATATTTAATGTTCTTCGTCGGAATCGAAATGGCGGATCTCGGGGACGATTTTCCCTTGTAGAATGCCGATAGGGCGTTGTAAAAGGGGAAATAGGATGTCCAGAGGGAAGTAGGACCTCGTCGTGACTTTTTCTTCTAGATTGGAGTCCTATATAATTATAGACTTTATTGAAATTCCCAGATTGATGGGCTGGATCGTTAATCCACTTCCAGGGTAAATTCGATTAAGCTATTAACCTTGACCGTGGCCCGAAAAAAAAAACAAAAAAAAACATTGAACGAGGCGGAAGGTTCGTGGCATCGCGAGGGATTCTTTAAAATTGGCAGATCAATCTCGGCAGATATCCAAGAATTCCTTGGACATGTGCCAAAATGATACGCCGGGTGTGCCGGGACGATAGCACGATATTATCTCGATCGGAAATACGGCAGGGATAATCTGATCTGATTAAAAATGTTCCGTGTCTGTCGGAAAATGTTGGCAGGACATTCTGTCCAATATTCGTTAGAATTGGCTGCTTCCATCACTCCAAGATAAATATAATTTTACGCCATTAAGCATACCGAGGGGAAGGAAATGTAATTGACTCACGAAGATTTGCGTAAAAGATATCTTATCCTTGCCCCGCAATTTGATTTCCTATCTACACTACGTAAATGATGAATGAGAAGGGAATTATTAATATTTATTATTTTCTTTTCTTTTCTTTTTTTTTAACTGACACAGTCAGAGATTCTGCGATACCAAATATCGCTTGTTTCAAACTACACAGAACGTCCAGGACAATCGTTCGAGGTTTACATCGCATGCAGTGGCAAGACATAAATGTAAATTAACGATGCAAACAGTTTCGAGAGGCATTCAGGAAGTATCATGCTTAAGAATTTCACTCAAGAAAAATAGAAAAATAAAAAATAACAAAGATGGACCGCAGGCAAAACAAGCATAATATTGGGGTTTAAAGTTGGGTATAGACACAATATTCAGAAGTAAAAGCCGACCTTTTTTTCCTCCAATTATCCGAAAGGATCAAACAATCGGATGATTCGGCGGAGTAATTATGACGAACAAAATGGATTCGTTAATCGAACGCTGATAAGAGCATTAACGGAGAGGCGAAAGTGGAATCTAGGAAGGGACGAAGATCAAATGAAACTACGAAAATCTTACGACTAGATATTAAAGGACACTGTATAAAGTATGTAGTCACTATTGACAATCAAACTTACCGTGCTAATATTCTAGATCGATCAACATCTAATCGAAAATCTGTCGAATTTCGTAATTACTTGTATCAGAGCTTTGCAATAGATAAGAGCATCCAACAGTGAAAGGAATTTATTTGTTTCTTTTTTTTTCTCGAAATAACGAACGAATGTTTAAGAGACGCTTATTACAAAATTCGGCGATCTATCGATTATTTAACACTAAATATGCCGCAGGGCCCATATAGATAAAAGACCTGACAAAATCAAAGAAAAATGAAGATAGGCGAGTCATTCCACGGGAACTTAATTAATTGGTTCGATGTTCAATAGGTGAAAAGCTATTGGCTACTTTCATACATTCTTCGTTGTTTAAATAAAATAGCTTCGATCAAGAAACTCGGCAAAGTTTGGAATCAAATGAATTTTTCGGAGGAACTTAAGGTGCCGAGTAATGAGAGAAACGTATCACTTTTACTTGATAGTTTCATTTGATAATGTCAATTGATGGCACTTAGTACATTACGAGATTACGCGTTAGGAATAATTTCTCCCCCAGAGATATCTCCAGTATTCAGGCGTTTCCCCTGGGAGAAAATTCCCTACATATCGCGTATCGCGATATCTTATCAGCGAATTCTAAGCGGAGAGGAATTTATGAAAGCAGCCGTCGCTAATTACAGTTCATTGTCCTTATCTGACACATCGACGTGTACGTTTCAACTATAATTTAAAAATACTACAAATATCAATGTACAATGCAAACGGTACTTGACATCACGAATTCCGGAATGACAATTCCTGCGAAACTCGTTATCGGAAGACCCGCCTATCGCGAGGAAAATGCCATTAATCGGTACCCGGCCGAAGAATCAACCTTTCGACTAGCGTGTTCCACTCTCGGTACCGTTACAAGTTCCTCGGGGAACTCGAGAAACGAGAATACTCCACGAGACAAGACACGGGATCGCAAATGGCACTCTTCGCTCGTCCGCGAATTGTAATCACGGAGAACGGCGCGAAACGATCGATCGAAAGGTCGACACTAAACTCGTATACCATACACTATCGCCTAACCCTGAACATTTAAGAAAATAAAAAAAAATATGTAAAATAAATAAATAATTCACGGGATAATACCGAGTCTTATCGTGCAAACTCCGGACGGATCTAATCGACACAATTAAATTCTGAAAGAATTAAGTTAACGAAACGATCGATCGAAAGGTCGACACTAGACTCGTATACGATCCATTATCGCCTAATCCTGAACATTTAAGAAAATAAAAAAAGTATGTAAAATAAAGAGACAATTCAAGGGATAATAACGAGTCTTATCGTGAAAACTCTGAAAGGATCTAATCGACACAATTAAATTCTGAAAGAATTAAGTTAACGAAACGATCGATCGAAAGGTGGACACTAGACTCGTATACGATCCACTGTCGCCTAACCCTGAACATTTAAGAAAATAAAAAAAGTATGTAAAATAAAGAGACAATTCATGGGACAATAGCGAGTTTTATCGTGCAAACTCCGGAAGGATCTGATCGAGACAATTAAATTCTGAAAGAATTAAGTTAACAACGTATGCCGTCCTAAAAGTTCTTCCGGAGCAGGGCGAATTGTATCTGGAGGCCTTCGGGTCGAGAAGCTCGGTCGAGTTTCACACCAGAGACATTATTCGGCGCGAGCCTGTCCGAGGTTCTATACGCAAACGCACCAGTAAAGAGGAAACGTTACGCTAAATGTCAAGAGACAATAACAATTCACGGTACGAGGAGTCGCTTCGCTACACGGGGCATTTTCTTCGCCTTTTTCTTTTCTTTTCAATGTATTAATTACTATTTAATTGCTACCAGGTACCACTTAATCGAGGTCGGCGTAATCGTGGAAGGTTTACCTCTACTCTTTCGGGTGGACCGCCTCACGGGCGTGACGTAAACTCCGTCTCCGGTGACCGGGTTGCGCGGCATGCAGGACGATCCTCCTGCAGGAGTCCCAGGGGATGCGCCACCAAGGGAAGTCCCGAGCAAAGCCCAACAAAATCCACCCATGCACCATCGTACACACCGCGGAGCATTCGATAACCGCCACCGATTCGCATTGCACCCAACCACGTGTTAGTGTCTCAGGTATCGGAGTGGACGAATTCGCGTGGTTCGCGTCGTAAAATATACTCGGGCTCGCGCGGCGCGCAATATACTTGACGTGAAACTCAGTCGCGTTCATGCGCTCGCTTTCATGCGGCGAGTGAAAATAAATAATAGTTATTTAAGACGAGTCGCTTAAGACGATTGCTAATATTTTTTCGAGTGAAAATAAATAGTAATTATTTAAGACGAGTCGTTTAAGACGATTGCTAATACTTTTTCGAGTGAAAATAAATAGTAATTATTTAAGACGAGTCGCTTAAGACGATTGCTAATATTTTCTCCGCGATACAAAGGGAATGGATCGCGATACCCCTTGCTTATTTTATTTATACCCGGAAACTAGCACCGAAGAACGATAGGGAACTGCTTTATCGGCCGCTGTTGGAAACCTTTTAATAACGCGATCGGTTTTAGCCACTCGTGTCGATCGAGAAAGACACTCGAGGGTGTTTTAGAGGCACATTTAGCGTTTAAGTGCTGCCCAATGAAACGTTAAGCGATAGGGTATAATAAAACCGATCTCGAGAGCGGGTCCGAAAGTGAGGCGACTCGAGATACGTCGAACAAGGACTCGTCTGTCTCTAGATGGACGCGACAACGAGAAATCGAGGTAAAACGAATGCAGCAGAGACGTTCGCTGCGAATTGGAGCGAGATAATCACTCGCTCGGGTTATCGACACTCCACGATTTAATCCAAAAATACGTCCGAGCGGTTTTACTACTCACATAAGAGGTGCAAATAATTTCACGCGACATATGCAGACACGTTAAGAAGTATAACGGTAGTAGTTATTAAATTTGCTTTACATTTTCTAAATATTCTTCTTCTACTTTTTTTTTTTGAACGATCCGGATTACCGCGTTGGTTTAATTTCCCTCTTAAATTTCGTCAGGAGAGGTCATGAAACTCGTGCACCTACGCATTTATTGATGGAGTTTTTTAAACGTCAGTTATCGACGCGAACGTCGAATTCGTCCACTCGCGAGGCATTAAAAGGGGCGAGAAAACAAGGGTTGCAAATCTACTGGGTACTCGAACGAAAACCAGGTTACGATGTGAAAAATTGCAACGTAATAAATAGCCCGACAGGGGCTAAGAAAAAGAAAAGGAATTAAAAATGTGCGATGTTCGTTAAATAAAGTCGGCCGCGCGATTCGGTGATTTCGCGAGCGGGACAATCCCCGTGAAATCGGCCGTGTAAACATCGGTCTTTATCTTTTGTCGGTACTTTTAACTTGGAGAGAGAAAAAAAAAAGAGAAAAAAGGCCCACGTTCCCGTGTTGATTCTAATGAATCACCACAATGGCGATAATGGCGCGCTATTTGTGAGCCAATCGCGAGCAGACACGGGTAATCGTTCCCGAGCCATTTATGGCCACTTGCAGCTCATTTAACCCTTGACGTGTTTCAGAAACCAAGTTTCAACGAGAGGGTCAATGCCACCGACTACTCTCAAATTGGAATTACACTTTGCAACTTGCCTTTGTTGCTCCGGAATTCTCACGAAACAAAGGAATAGCTGAGGACCTCTTTGAAATTTTTTTTTTCCTTTAGAAAACCTTTAGGACATTATTTTTTTCTACATCCTAAAGAGGGACTAAAAGGTGTCGAGATATCTCAAAGGTAACCAAGTATCATGGCTCATTTTTTCAATACAATTCTAATCTTCAATGCCTTCAAAGGCCTTGAAAAGAGCCCTCCAGATACAGGATTGGTAATAAATGTTATTTCTTCCATTCTCTTCAATTATTTGCCATTAATTTTTACTTAAGTAACTGCAAATGGCCATAGACGTCTCGAGCGTCGTGACGACGAGTCTGCGAAAACCAAAGTTCAAAAACCAGATGTAAATCCAAAAATCAACATTTGGGATTTCCAATGACTGTAACGATCGATTATTAATCGACTATTAGTAAACTCGACGTTAAAGTAATCGCACATACTGGCTTTAATATAAAAAAAAAAGAAATTACCGCGTGCTATTCTCGCGGGATATTTTCATTATCTTTCAAATTTCAGATATTACGCTTTGAATTTCTTTGTGTGGTTTTTGGATTAATCGTGTCTTTAAAAAGCAGAAAGGTGCCGCGGGGCAAGTAATGACAATAATGATTGCGATAATGACAATAATCACGGCAATAGTAACAATAGTGGTAATAATGATAGGAATGATAATGAAACCGACGATGGAATGACCAACTCAAAACTCAAAATATGTGCTTTTTCGACGATCAAAACAAGGCCCGCCAGAGCCGATAGTTTTCGATGCGATCGCGAAGGATCGAATGATCGTTCCTTTTTCTTGAATCTTTTGGGAGCGAATATAGCATCGAAAGCTCTTTTCACGGTTAACAGAAAAACGTATCTCGAGAGATTGGCGAGAGCGTGCTCGGGAGTCCGAAAGAAATGACTCTTATAAATGTCTCGAAATTCGTCCGATTTCGGAGTCGGCTCCGGATGATCGCAGTCGGGGGTGAAAGATGTGTCGTGTGTAAAATCGGCTACTCGGGTGTCTCGTGGAACACTTACGAAATCGCTTGTTTCTCCAGAAAGCTGCTTGCGAACAGTTCGGTAAAAGCGAGAAAGATTAGAAAATGACGCACGCGTCTCGTAGGAAGTGGTGGTGGGAAGAAGAATTTTTAAGGGGTATCGAAAGACGCGAGAAATTCAACATTCTTCCTTTTCGTTTCAATCTTTTTTTTTTTTCATTTTCCTTCGGAACGCTGCGCCGATCAACTCCGAGAACTGCCCCAATTTCGTCAAAAGACACGAGTCAGTAAACGAGATCATATAACCTGTACACTCGGGTATCCAACCCCATTTCCTACATTTGTCGCGAAACTCAGTCGAGCTTCTATGCAGGGCATTAATCTTCCCTCGAGGAAGCCCGTACAACCCCAGCTTTCAAAGAAACTCTTTCAATTCGGTTCTCGAGTCGACCGGCGTCAGCTTTTCCAGGGGTGCGCGGATCGTTCCGAAAGATGTATATAAAACTGGAATTGCCACTTTAGCAGAATTCAATAAAATTTGTTGCAAAATTTATTGCTAATTTATTCCTATTTTATTGCAGAAGAGAACAATTTTTTGCTCTTATACTTTTCCGATTAATGGTGGCGATGTCAGCTTTATATAAAGCTAGCACTGCCACAATAAAAAAACAATTATTAAGTAAACGTTCGTCGATGAATTATATGCCAGAATTTATTTCTAATTAATTGCTCGCAGAAGAACCAAATTTCAATTTTTTTGCTCACCCTTAAAGGGGTGAATCGCCACCCCTAGAGATGATCGCAGGACAGAAACATGAAAAACATGGGGGAATCGAACTATTTCTTCGCGTGGGAATTAATTGCTAATTAATTGCTCCGAGAAGAACCAATATCTTCCTGAGAATAGAATTTTCAAACCTACATTAATTAGCGATTCATTCTCACGTGAACAAATAGTTCGATTCTTCTATCTTTTATGTGGCCAAGCTGGGGCGACATATGGCCTACCACATTAGGGGTTGTGCAAACAATTCGAAATTAGATTCTTCTCGGAGCAATTAATTAGCAATTAATTCCCACGTGAAGAAATAGTTCGATTCCCCCATGTTTTTCATGTTTCCGTCCTGTGATCATCACTAGGGATGGCGATTCACCCTTCTAGGGGTGAGCAAAAAAAACTGAAATTTGGTTTTTCCGCGAGCAATTAATTAGCAATAAATTCCGGTATATAATTCATCGATGAAAATTTACTTAATAATTATTTTTCATTGTGGCAATGCTAGCTTAATATAAAGCTGAGATCGCTACCATTTTTCGGAAAAATATAAGAGCAAAGAATTTTTGTTCTCGTGCAATAAAGTAGCAATGAATTAGCAGTACATTCTGCAATACATTTTATTGTATTGTGCTAAAGTGGCAATTCCAACTTTATATACATTTCCGAAAGACGCCTCGAAGTCACTCCGGAGTGCACGAGGGAGATGAAAGAACGCCGCCCTCCCGACCGTGACACAAGATACGTGTAATCGGAGCCCCGTCGAAATCTCGAAGCTAGCTGACACATATTTCAAGGTAGCGAGTGATCCCGATCGGCGAGAAGAGAGTGCAGAGAGCGGTAGACGGTAGAAAGAACGCTAGGTAGACCGCAAGGGGTATGGAGAGGTGCGTACTGCGTGGTCTACGTACCCGATATGTCGTTGTTGTTGGCGCCGTTGCCATTGGTAAGGCCATTGAGATTGCCGGTGCTGGAATTGGTGCTTTTCGCGGGGGAAGATGCCCCCGGGCTCTCCCCGCTGAGGGAGATATGGCTGCGCATGTGATTTTTCGAGTTTGGGGTGGGTGGGGCATCGGGAGGACCAAACAGACGACTGTACGAATCATTACCGGGCTTGGAGGCTCGGGGGGTGTCCTGGCCGTTGCCTGCGCTGGGCCCGTTCGAGTCCCCGAAAATCGCCGACCCCAGCTGGGACTGATTGTGGTTCTTCACGCGCCGGGGATTCGCATCCTCGGGCCCGGCCCCGAAGATGTCGCTACTTCCGCCACCAGGGGGCTTCAGCACCCTGAAACAGAAAAGAAAGTCGTCTTTGAGTACTTTCATTTCGCTAGGTCGACGAAAAGGAAATAAGAGTTACCTAGACAAATACATTTCACTGACATCGCAGGGTTTCTTTCTACTTCCTTAACCCTTTCGTTACCTTGGACGAGATATCTCGCGACCCAATACTGGCCGATTAACGCTTTTGACGAGATATCTCGCGACCCGATACTGGCCGATCAACGCTTTTGACGAGACGGTAGTAGCTGTATTTATTTCTTCCTTTTAGCTATACGAATAGAATTAGTTATAAAATATATTCATCTAGAATGTCAAAATATTGGTGCTAGAAAGCTAGATTATCGTCAAAAGCGTTAATCCGCTACTACCGGATCGCGAGATATCTCGTCAAAAGCGTTGATCGGCCAGTATTGGGTCGCGAGATATCTCGTCCAAGGTAACGAAAGGGTTAAAGGTGGAATTTGTCCTTTATGTCCCGCAAGCATGGTTTACCCGTCATTTCGCTCCTGTTTTTCGGACCTAAATTAGGTCTTCCTTCGACGGCCAACGTGAATAAACGGCGGGGAGGGAGGGCAGGACAGGAAAGGACTTTAAAACGATCTAAGGCGAAAAAGTGCTGATATTCGTAATTCGCGCATACGCAATAAAAAAGAGTAAATCATGCTTCAGTTCGATAAAGTACCGGGTGGGCCCGATCGACTTTACCTCCCTGGGACACAATGTACTATTCTTGGTGGATGTTCACATTCTGAAAGAAATGCACCCGAAAAATGTCACGTTTATAGCTCTAGAGATTTGAGTTGGCCTCGGTACCATTACTTAATGGTCCGAGCGAAACGTGGAAAAGAGAAACGTTTTTGTTAAAAATTCTACCCACTCTCTCCCCCTGAAAGATAAATTAATCGGTACGGGACCCCGTGTATATATTATATCCATTATATTTATCCTGCGAGGTATTTCTACCTCTAGATGTATCCGTATATTTATCCTGCGAGGTATTTCTACTTCTAGGTACATCATTGTTTAAAGGCAAGACACCGTAGGACACCCGCACCTACTATTCATCGTTGAGTCCGATCCAAATGTAATCCGCGTTTAGAGGACTCCCAGGATGGGAGGACCCCACTTCTCGAGGGAACGCAAAGCGTCGAAATCGGCAAAAAGATCCCGGAGACGCGATCCTGCTTTACACCGGTGTCACGCTCGGCCGAACCGACCAAGGTTACCTCCAACGCCATAAGTACCCCAAGGCTGAGACGCGAGATCCTCTTGGTCATCGAACCTGGACCGATGCTGTCCAGCGAAAGGACATTGCCGATTCGAGATCGCGATTTGGCCGATCCGAACACCCACACCGATTCGAAACGGCCGAAGTCTAATTACCAAGCCGGAATGCAAAACCAGGGACAAAGGAAACACCGGCAAATCCGGCAGCGGCCTACGATTGTACGACCGAAACCAGAGGAAGCTTTGCCACCCTGCGGAAAGTCAAAAAAAAAAGAAGATCCTTCGAAATCCTAGCTACAATCGAGGACGGAATTATGAGAAGATTTGGAAAATCGAGAGTAGAGTCGCGAGCACGGAATCTTTGTGCCGTTGCGAGGTCTCGGTTTATTAATAATTTATTTATTTTTCCTTCGTCTGCAAGGTCGGGACAGGTTTCGGGATAAGAGTCGGCAATTTAATACCGTATAATGGCTACGTATCTCTCCTTTTATTTCGTTTTAACAGGAGCAAGGATGTCGGCCTCGGTAAGTAAGTCCACGTAGGCACGAAATAAGAGTACTTTTTCCCAGCAAGGACCGTGACATGCGTCCAATCGTGGGGAGTCCTGCACCGTCGAGCGCAGCTCCTTTGGCGGCGGTCCTTGAGGCCATCCTTGATCGCCATAAAGTGCCGGCGATCGTTTCTTATAACAATAAATTAGAAAAATAAGAAAAAAAAATAAAAAATAAAAAAGTGAAAAAGAACAACCGCGTTCGTTTGCACGATGGCGTCCGTATGATCGTAGCGGGATATTTTTCCTGTGTGTTAAAGGGTACAAGGCAGGATCTCGTAGGGCTGCACGAGCGGCAAAACTGCAGATCCGTGCAATCTTAATTTGCGCCTTCCGTTAACGAGGGAGGACACTCGTGGTCGCGTGCGCGCACGCAGTCCTCGGTAATTGGACGGCCCCCTTGCCGCGTTCTAAGGCTCCTTTTCATTTTCCATTTTTTTCCTCCCCCCTCCGGCTTCTTTTTCAATTACTAAGCAACGCGCAGCGTCAGCTCGTAGAATCGAGAAGCGGCCATTAGGCGTGCCGATCCCAATTAGCGCCCGACAACGAATTCTTCCCCTATCCGGGCGAGAGCTCCAACAAGAGGCCGGCCGAGATCCGAGCTAGGAAGAACCCCTCGTGCCCTCTCTCTCGCTCCCCCGCGCGCGCCGTATAGTGCCTCTCTTTCTACCGGCTGCGCGTCGCTACGGCGGCTCGAGGGCGCCGCGTGGAAACAGCTGTTCGCGCGAAGGGCGGCTGCGTCAAAGGGTTCTTTACTCTTGTTCGATGATTTTTAAGATGACGTTAAAGGCGGTTTTTACCGATCGGCGTCGACCAAATTCCGCGGATATATCTTCTCTAAACTTCTGTAACCCAATTTCTTTTCTTAAGCCGAGAAAGAATCCATGTAACTTGACATTTAGAAATATTAACCTTCTGAAATTAACTTTTTGTTTATAAATATGCGCTTTGGATGAAATTATACCTATTAAAATGTTCATAAATTTACAAGTGGTTGTAAAGGTATAGATATAAGACACTACATGGTTTTGTCGAAAAAAAAAAAATGAGACATGGAAAATGTCGACGTACTGGTATGACTTACGTAAAGCCACATGGTATTATAAAGAGGTAATGATCTGTGGACCTATTTGTCTGAAATTTGACCACATGATTATGGAGGTGCTGACGACTGTTCTGGACATTCAAATAATTGCATTTTTATTTTATTTTTTTTTACTTTGCTGAGATCAGAACCAACCAGGCTGGTCACATATTTAGCCATTATTCACGAATAAAAAGCTCCAAAGTAACAACTGAGAGGGTCAAGAATTATGGTCAATACTTAAAAACAACAGTATTAAGTCAAACAGAAATGATACATTTAAGTCCGAAAAATGGCGTGTCGTTTTAGATAGTACCTATCAGTTACAAGAATTTGTTCTTCCCGATAACGACCTAGTTTCTCGACGTCTTTCACATCACCTTAAAGAACAAATCCAGACATAACATTTGGCAAGAAGGTTATTTAAATTGTCAGTACAAAGGGCAGATTGTTCAGCAATTTCTGATCCTGCGCGAGATACCACCGAAGGAAGAGCCGGCGCAGTTGAACCAGATTTCCTCCGTGAACGTCCCGTTTTACGGAAAAGTGTCTCCCGGGAAAGTTGTCCGACATGATCCGAGGAAGGACTTTCGTCCGAATAGTTTTTCGCTATCGTGCGCCGGTGAGCCAAGAACGTTATCTCAAACGGGCACGGGCCGGCGCGTAGAGAGGTCGGCTCTTTAATCGGCGCTCCCTTCGTCCGCTCGGACATGACTTATTATTGGTTTCATTTAATTAACCGTTTAAAGGGTTAAGAGCATTACACGCCGACGCACGGGTATAATCGCGGCGATCGGTCAAAATTAGCGAGCGTTTCGCCGGAGGTACACGGAGCGGCGCGTCCCTCGTTAAATAACGAGGAGATAATTAATCGACCGTAGGAAGCGAAGAATCCCGAGGAGCGACAGGATGGGTGCGCCAGGAAATGCCCGATGACGTGGACTCTCCCTTTCTCTCTCTCTCTCTTCTCTTCTTCTCGTGTCTCCCTTCTGCGGTCTCCGTCAGATATCCCGCGTTAACGATCTTATCAACCCTTTTACGTGCCGTCCTCGAAATACCCCACAAGAAAACAGCCGTTTTTCAGGCTCCGTCGCCAAGGGGGCCCAAGTTATCTCACCAGGTCCACTCGTTATCGGACCCAAGTACGCAACGAAAGGAGCAGCCGAGATCTTTACGATAATTAGACGCGAGGAAAAATGCCCAATTACTCTGAACTGCTGACTTTATATCTCGCCGTGGTACGCCAGGCAACGATCCAAGGCGACCCCACGCGAACCGACCGTTTCCATAACTCTCATGTTTAATTAAAAATATTCTCATCGCGCGCAGAAATGAAATTTGGTTCGTCGAATGAAATCGCGCCGTCGATTGCATTTGGTTCACCTCGAAAAACGTTTCGGTTGGGCGAACCTAATTTCAACACCAGACCATCCTTGTTTGCTTGGATCAACGAGTGTTTTGGTTAAATCGTTTTATTAATCCTCGAATTTTAGCCAATGAATCGAATATTTCGATTAAACGTATCGTATTGATTTAATATTTCGTGTGACGTTCCACCACAATATTTGATATAATCGAACAGAAATTAGTAACCAATGAACTTTGTCACGTCAATAGAATACCGTGCCTCAAAGAGTTAACCCTTTGAGGCTCGGAATTTTAGAAAATAAAAAGGCCCATGTTGCACAGAAATGATATTTCTTTTTAAACCACCGTGCCATGTTCACGCATTAAAAAAGTGGGACACTTTTCATACCACCGTGCCTCAAAGAGTTAACCCGAAACCTTGGGGACGGCCTCAGGTATATCATGTATTCTGTTTTCGCGTGTCTCTCGATGAAATTTTTCATGGTATTTTTATCATTCAAGAAAATGTGCCGAGAGCATGAAATTCGAGGAAGCGGCCAGAAGGGCAAACTCCGTGCGTGGCGCAAATCGGTACGAGGTTTCGGGCAAACGAGGAAAGGAAACGTCCCGGGGGCGATGTCGCGAAGAGGATCGATGGATCGCGACAGGGAGAGCAATCGGAGCCGAATCCGTGACTTCGATTTGACGAGGAGCTACTTCCGGCAGACCTTGGTCGAGTGCGGCGAAATAATGCCGAGATATTTCGGGGACAATCGGGGGCAGGGAAGCTCGACTC